CAGCCTGGCAGGCAGGCAGGCAGGCAGACAGGCAGACAGACAGGCAGACAGGAGGGAGACAGGCAGGCAGGCAAACAGGCAGACAGGCCGACGGACGGACGGACGGACGGGACGGGACGGGACGGGACGGGACGGGACGGGACGGGACGGGACGGGACGGGCGGACAGACAGACAGACAGACAGACAGACAGACAGACAGACACACACACCCACCCAATCAATGGCCATGCTCTATTTCTATCGGACCTAACGGCAAGATTGTCTGGCTGGACGTCTTTGGAGCGGCAATGGCGTACTTTGACGTCAAGCTCTGTCCAAAATAGCTGGGCTGTTGTGCATTGCAAGTTCAGAGATGCACGAGGGGCCGAGGGCACGGAGGCGTCTGCACCGGCTCGACGGGTCCCCGTTGATTCGGAGTCGGCCATGCTGGCAGCGCACTCCCCCTGCGCCGGGCGGGCGCTCGGGTCGCCGCTTGGCGGTTCATGTCATTCACCGCTTCGGGCTTCGCTCTCTGCGACGTGGCTTTGGCTCCCATGCTTCCCTTCCTCGCTTCTTGACAGAAGGAGCCAACGGAACGAGATGCGCTCTGGAATTTGCCCAACGACGGCGTGGATGCTGACCTGGTCTGCGGCGGGAGCTGCAATGACTCGGGTCCAACGCTTGGAGGCTGAATCAAAGGAGGCACGGATGGGGACACAATGCCCGAGTATGCAGATTTCACCCATGCATTCATTGGAGACCGCGGTGATCCGTTTCCAACCAGCGATTGGGGACAAGCCGATACTGTAGCGACGGTCTGGCTCATGAGTCCCTCCAGCAAGCAAAGCTCCTGGTGCAGGCTTGCCACAATTCGTTCTCGCTCCTGTGCAGTGGAAGCCAAAGTTTGTTGCCACGAGGATGTGTCTATTTCGGGCCAGGCTGTGCTAGACTGGTCGGAGCTTGCTCTGTCGGCAGACATGTGCGATTGGCAAACAAAGGCCTCCGACAGAAAGCTTCTGCTTCATTTTCGTCGGACTAGATTCTGACTCAGAATACAGGAGGTTAATGATGTCTCAAGTCACCCACATGATCAAAGTCATATGTTGCAGGCATGCTAATCCTAGACGACTGCAGCAAGAGGTAGCAAGAGTATACTGTCGGCGGGCTGTGCGGCATGAAACAAGGCAGAAAACGCCGACTGAGCCCTCAGAGTCTGCAAGTTCTGAGCAGCGTAACTTTAGTATCCTGCATGTCACAGATTCCAAGCTGCGCATCGACTTGCTATCTTTTCCATGCACACACATGTACAACTCATGCACTTGGCATGAAATCAGCGTGGAACTGTCTTTGCTAGCGGTCTGACAGCTAGAGAGATCCTCGCATCATTTGCCAAGATTAACGATTCTGCTATACATCATGAGCTGGCCGCAGTCAGACTGAACCAGACATGGACGCTTGATACATCGCGTTTGATACCTCTGGTGACAATGGTGCTTTCGTCCAATCCACCTGGGCCCAGCTTTCTGCACAAGCAGCGTGTCCCGCGGATCGCTGTCTCTGTCGCAGTTGGATCCGAAATCTTCTTCCAGAAAGGACAGGATTGGCAATGGCACTGCAATGTGGATTCCCCCCCACGGTCATCCTTCGGCGAGACGTCGAAACCACTCATGTCCCAACAGTGCCCGAGGATCGAGGACTCGCAGATGCTTGCAGAGCAGCGCAGTCAGCTCGCGCGGCTGTCCTCCAGGATCCTGGAGTGACCTTCGCCATCTGGAGGGAATCGTATCGTGGCACGGCCATCAGTGCGGACATCGAGATCCTCGGCTTCTGTCCTTTCCTGCCTCATCGCTTCCGTCAGGGCACAGCACGTGTCAGGATGTTGCCGCCGCTGCCTGTCAAGCCAAGCTGGAGGTAATGAAAGACACAGCGAGGTGGACACAGAAGGTGCACTTGTATGCGGTGACCGAAGCTTTTTCGGGCAAGGCTCGTGCCCGGGTTGACTGACTGATGCGAACAGGCTCTTCGTCGTTTATTTGTCACCTGCCGGTACAAAAGACTGCGACACTTGCAAACCTTGCCAATCGGAGCGATGACCTGCAGCTTGCTGAGCAGCTTTTTGAAGCATTGCTTCTTGCACCTCAGAAGTGGAGGGAAACACGAAGACTGCGGGTTCAAGGCCGGTGCAGATGCAAAGTAAACTCACCGCAGAGCACTTCATAGTCGCGCCTTCTTGTGCACATCTCCGGTCAAAAGCTGAAGTCGCATCTGCATGTCAGCAACCTTGGCAGGCATGGCCAATCCAGCGCTGCCCATGCGATATTGACAATCACTCTTGCTTCGTTGTGTGCCTTTGCCGTGGGCCTTCACTGAGAATTCCGCTGCCTCGTTGGATTCCTTCATGACCGTCCTGGTCAAGCAGGAGATTCACACTCAAACCTGAAATGGTCGATGTTTTTGCTTACGGCATGCCCACATAATCATCCGTTGCCAAGCTTCTTCAGTTCTCGCTTCAGCTGCAGGATGTGCTGAGAGGTCTCTGTGCACTGACGCACCTCGCGATATTCTCCAGGAAAGAAGGAACTTGAAGAGTTTCGCTTGAGAATCGTGCAGAGCCGCGCATCTCCTCCAAATCCTTGATGCGAACCTGTCGCTCCGTGTAGTCCTGTGAGGAGATGTCAAGCATGGAAGTCCACTTCCAGTCAACTTCCAGTGTGGCACACACCGACACGCTCGACATCGGTCGCATAATGTTTGCACAGTAAGTACAAGGGCCGAGTTCGGCCGATCAACTGCTGTAGCGTAAAAGGCATGGCATGCATCCCGCCATTCTGACGCCGGCAGATGTAGATTGGAGGGTTTGGTATGATCGTGATTGAGAGCTCGCAGAAGCTAACATTGCAATCCTAGCTGCAAGTCCAATAAGGCGACCCGTCTACCTGCCTCTGCATCATCGGAATCCAGCGTCAAAGCTCGATTGACTGGATAAAAGGTGTAGTCCTCATGGCAATTTTCGGACACTCGAAACCTTCAGTCCACTCCGGTCAAACGTCGCTGCTGACTGTGGCGACTGCCTGTCTCGTCACCTTGGCCTTGACAAAGGACTCTGGGCCGTTCAAGTCTGAATCCTTCGCCTGCTTGAGATACCTTGCAGAGAATAATCTGGAATGCAGAGTTGAAGCAGAAACCGTGAGCCTCTGCGAGAGCGCGATAAAATAGATGGCTGCATTACGCATCGTTATGCCATTTTAGCATACGGCCTAAAACCTACGAGCTAGAACCGCTTCCGTGCTGCATCAGGAAGCGAGCATAACTCCACATGTAGTGCTCCTGGCAGGGACTGGGAATGAATGAAGACTGCGTAAAGAGCAGACTGAGCACAGCCTGGCCTGAAAGACATGGTGCTCGAACTTGACCATCTGTCGCTCCATCTGTGAACGATTAATGCCGCAAATGAAGCAGTTGTTCTCTTGATCATCGTTCTTCTCGGACAAATCAGCTCGCATGTTGGCAAACGTGTCAATGATGATGCCGGAAATGATGGCAGCCAAAATCAGAATTACGACGAGATTGTACAAGTAGTCGAAGGCGAACCTGCACATGGACGAACACGGACATCTGGGAATGGCATCGTAACTCAGCTGAGCTGCTTCCACCAAGTCAGCTCCGCTGAAGACCAGACAGGCCCCGAACGAAATCCATAGTCCAGGTGAGCGAGCCTTGGCTGCAGAGCGCTTTGCGACTGCCGGACGCCGGACTTCTCACGATTCTCCCTTTGTGCTGCCCAGGGCACAGGCACTCCATCAACGAGGAGCACTCCGAGGTATCCATGTCCTGGGCTGCTGCAGTCTGCGGTGCGGTGCTGTCAGAAAACTACTACGGTGATGTTGACAGACAGACAACAAGGTGGGATATGCTGTACAGTTGCCGCAAAGCCATAGCCCTTGGAGAACGTCAGGAAGCCGAGGACCAAGAAACAGTACTGGACCTGCACTGCTCTAATTTGTGACACATGCTCTGAGCAGGCCGGGAAATCGCTTCTCAGGGTGCGACGCAGAAGCCCAGAACAGCTGTTCCTGACTGAACCGTAAATTGATGTCGACGGCAAGGTCACAACTTTCCAGAGGGACATGCATAAATCCCAAGCGTGCGCGGATGCAGCACAGCGCGCCTACGACCTGATCCTTGGTGATCCAGAGAGCCTCGAAAACCTTGCCGAGCGTCTCGACCTGCATTCTGTTTAGACTCAGACCTTGCGGGGCCTTCAATGACTGCACGATGTACTTGTGCTATCTTGTACTCTAATCATCAGGGAGAACTGTAGCAGCTCTGTCTGGTTTTACAGCAAACATGCCGCTCAGAAAGTGCAGGACAACTACTCGCAGCCATATCACCTGCGCGCACACGTACATGAGGTGGACGGAGAAAATCCTGGAACAGAACACAGCGTGGTGCAGGCAGTCGAGTCAGGGTTCAGGAATGAAGCTGAGCAGCAAAAAATCGAAGTGCAGACCCAAGAAGGAGATGCCGGCCAAGAACAGCTTGTTCACCAGCCCGGAGTCCTCGGACAATGCCAGTGAGATTTTGACTGATCTTCAATCTTCGAACTTGTAACGGCCTGGAGGAAGAACCACAGCATCAGGATGGCGCCAAAGATTCCGTTGAGCCTACGGCCGAAGACATCTGTAGGAACTCCGGCAAACGAGCCAACGAGCAGCCTGTGATGCGAATGAGGATTTTCCTCCTTCCACTGGTCCATGCCGGTGTCGATTTTCCACTGGGAATAGGCCACAACCTGGACCCAGCCAGGATCACGAGGCCGCGATGTGCCGCGATGTTTAAGGTTTAGACGTGGAAGAGTGTCAGCAGCACAGCGCAGATGAAATGCGCAGTGCTCAAGCCAGTCCTCGGTGACGCCCACTAACAACTCATGCAGCATTGCGAGCCTAGGCGAGGCCCAGACAGAACCCAAACGTACCAATCCTGCCAACATCTACTAGCAACTTGCTTGCCCCAAATTCCCAGGCATGACTTTTTTCTTTATTATTCAGAAAGAGATATACAGCCATGTCCTCACCTTTATCCACCATTTTGCGGATGCTTAGATTTTGCACATGTTGCTCGCACGTTTTTACCTTGTGGGTCCAGCTGCACTCATTCTGTTTCACCCTTTCCAGAAACAGCTCGAGCTGCTCAGTTTGACAGGGATCGCAGGATCGCAGTAAATGTGGGAATTCCCACCGTGCACCGATGTTTTGCGCTGGCCAGGCTTACATGACAACCATTCTACAGGTCTGACAGCAGCTGTTTCTACGGGCACGTGATGTGCAGCCTCGAAAGATGTCTAAACTCTAAGACTCTAAGCAGTTCCCAGCCCTTCCGTCGTAACGCCAACGCCTGTGCCCTGTGCGGCTCCAGCCTTGGCATAGTGCACGTCGTACCTTCGCATACCGTTGCTCATCCCATTGCCGACTAGAAAAGCAAGCTTTACGGACACCTTGGAAAGTGTAAGTGAACGAAGCGCCGTGCGGATGCTCCAGCACACGCATGCCACGTACTGATTTACATTCTGTCTCTCAGGCACTGCCGGGGCCCAATTCAAGCCGATTCATTCGTAAGTACAACCCATTCAAGAGGCTTGAAGAAAGCTAGAACACCGGGATGACGAAGGGGAATTGCACCGAATCGAGTACTTTGTCAGCCTTCTTCATACCGGCATCGTTCAAGATTGCAGAGCACAACTTTGCGTTGACTGTCTGAACAGTCTTTCATGTGCACTTGGCGACATGGCGTCTGTTGTGACAGTTGACGTGGCTCTTGCATGACCGTGCTTTGACGAGACTCTTACGGTTGGATCTTTACTGTCAGTCACATGCCTTCAGACGTGCTGGTGCCTCGCCGTCATGGCCCACATAAACAAGCAGCCGTCGAGGCGCTACGGGGCTTGAATAGAAGACGCTATGCTTTGACTGGAGGAGTAGAGTTTATAGTATGGAGAGTTCGCATGTCATACACAGTTGCAGGTAGCCAGACAGCGAAAACAAACTGTGGCGCACTCTCCCATGCGGTGCTCTTTGGAATAGGAACCGTCATAGACCAGAGCGACAGTGCCTCTCACACACACACACAAGTGCGACAAAGACAAACACTCTTAGTCCCATAAGACGCCGACCTGTTATGATGATGGTAAGCAGCACAATGATGCTGCGGGCTGCAGCCATCACCTCTCCTGATGCATTCCTCGCAACAGCTGCAAGAGGTAACCCAACTACTTTCAGAATGCCAAAATGATGCGAAGCTTCAGCGGGAAGGGCTTCTGAGAAAGGTTGTACTGATGCTCCACGAAACCAATGTACCTGATGCGTCTTCCCTCCGCTACCATGCTGCCCGAGGCCATTGCTTGGAGGCACTCGTCCCAGACTTGCTCCGAGAAATCCTGCAACTTTGCTTCCGGACCGCTTCGGTCGACGGTATTGATGCAGCCTTCCTGCCAATCCTGCCAGTCAACCAGAATCTGCCACAGCAAAGAACTTTTTGTCGTGATTCCGGTCCTTGATAAGCGATTGACCCTTCAATGTTCGGATAGCTGCTGGCACCAGGAAGAACAATTTTTGCAATCTCTGCCCCCGCTGGATTTCAACTCGGCCGAAGAGAAAGTGAAGGTACTTGCCTGAGCATCTCAAGAGGAGCCAAAGCCTACTCTTTCTCATCAGTCACCAGACCCCAACGGAAAGTGCAGGACTTTGAGTCTGTGCGCACAATACTCGTCCTGCTGCCGAGCATCTGTGATGCATCTTGCTGACGCCTTCCTGCAATATCGCCATGTAGGAGGCAAACATGCTTTGCACTTGGTCGAATGGCGGTGCTACGGTTGTGCAACTCAGCGTCTGTGAAGGTGTCGTAGATCTTGGTTTTTGAGGTGGCCCACCTCAAAGTCTCTCACAACAGGCAGATCTCGATGTTCTCAACTGCTTGCCTTTTCGACCTTTACGTTTGGCAGCAGCAAAACTGCCAGACAATGGAAACAGAAAACACTCACACATGCATGCACGCATGCGCCCGCGCGCCCACGTACACCTAACGGCAGATTGCCAAGCGGAGACAGACAGGCAAACACAACCAATCATGCATGAATACATGCACATGTATGCTTCATGCCTGGTATGCTATATAATTACGACTGTGTGTGTGTGCCAATCCTATTATCTTACCAATGTTGATATCATTTGTTATTATCAAATTATTAGTGCTATTCTCATTTATGTCTATTCGTATTCGTATTCGTAGAAGTAATCGTCGTAGTAGTAGTAGTAGTAGTAGTAGTAGTAGTAGTAGTAGCAGTTGCAGTAGCAGCAGTAGCAGTAGCAGTAGCAGCAGCAGCAGGACCAGTAGCAGCAGTAGCAGCAGTAGCGGTAGTAGAAGTCGTCGTCGTCGTCGTCGTCGTCGTAGTAGTAGTAGTAGTAGTAGTAGTAGTAATAGTAGTAGCAGCAGTAGTAGTAGTAGTAGTAGTAGCAGTAGCAGTAGTAGTAGTAGTAGTAGTAGTAGTAGTAGCAGTAGCAGTAGTAGTAGTAGTAGTAGTAGTAGTAGTCGTTGAGTTGTCGTCGTCGTCGTCGTCGTAGTAGTAGTAGTAGTAGTAGGTAGCAGTAGCAGTAGTAGTAATAGTAGTAGGAGTAGTAGTAGTAGCAGTTGTTGTGGTTGTAGTGGTAGTGGTACTGGTCGTATTAGTGATAGTAGTAGCTTTTGTTGTTGTTGTTGTTGCTGCGGTGGTGGTGGTCGTGGTGGTGGCATCAGCAGCAGCAGCGAAGCGGCCGCAGCAGCAGTAGCCAGCATGTAAGTAAGCTGAAGTAGCGGGAGCACGAACTGTTGAATGACAGTGATGCAAGACTAAGCCGCTTATGTCTACGAGTCTGCAGTTCAGTGGTTGTTCATGCAAAATACACAGTGTTGTACGTGCGTTTTGCATACCCGCAAATACGGTACATCGCAGTATGTCATATGCAGACAGTGGCTGCATCCGGTAGCTGCAAACGAGATCGATGTATACCGAGCGTGTTGACCTCTGCATGAGCTGTGCACATGGATTTCCGTCTGCAAGTCAGAGCACTGGTTGCGGGTGTGGAGAACAGGATTCTTCATCTTGTGGTCCAGAGTTCCTCTCGACTGCTTTAAGGCTTTGCTGTAACGTGACCTGGATTCTTAGCTGGTTCTGGCATAGCTCGACAGTGGTGTCCCAAACCCACTGGCGAGCAAGATCTTCAGCGGTCCTGCGAAGAAGCTCCTGTTGCCGAATTCTGGAGCCTGTTGGATTCCTTCGAAGAGCGCCCAGCAAAGGAAGCAAATCTCCAGGCAATGCTCCTGTCTGACGCAAGCAAGCGAACATTCTGTCCTAAGCCCGCCAAGTTCTATTTGGATGCAGTTGCGTCCTCTTGTTCCGTAAGAGTGTAGTCTGTGGACTCCTTCTCACCCTTCGTCCGGATGACCGCCTCCTGGTGCGAGCCCACTTCGAAACAGTCTGTGCTGCAGCTCATCATGGCACCAGCTTTTCGATTCAAGATCAAATGCTGGCTAGATGCAGCTGTGTCATTCTCCACCACTTCATCAGCATCCTGAACTGGTTTGATCATGTTGGCAGGGTCGTGAACCTCCGGCGAGAGGTTCCAGTGAGTGATGACCTGCCCGAACATTTTGCCATACACTGCGGAAGACCCCATGATGCCGGTGCATTCTGTCTGTGCTACGACGGCCTTGTCGCAAATAATCTTGGGGCTTAGTTCCTCTACCATGCGTCGAATTGTGGATCCCTTGTGTTCCACGACCTCCTCGGAAGTCTGCCTGAAGTAGCAGCCACAGGCATGCAACCATGCCGGATGCGGTTGAGTTGGCTGGAAACTTTCAGACCGCGCCTATAGTTGGGATCTTCGGGATCAAGCTCTTCTTCTTCGAGCAGAGACATGAGAAACTTCAAGACGGAGATTTCACCTCGCAAAGGGGGCCGAGAGATGGTCTACACCTGTCATTCAATCTGATTCGCAGTTGGCAGGTGAAGTGTAGCTTGAGGAAACACAACATAACTTGTAGGCAGTTGCTTGAAGTCTAAGCTGAATATGCCATTGCAAGCATAGGCACAGTTACGCATGGAACGCAGCAGCTTCATAAAGGACTCGAACAAATCCTCGTTGTCTTGGAGCAGTGCACGGAAGGTAAACTCATCTGTGCCTGGGAGCGATAGCAAGGCTCTAAGCGACCGAGTACGTCGGAGGGAGTGGAACAGAAAAGGCACTCTCGCAGTCCGCGGTCCCAGGCCCTGGCGTTGTCGGATCCAGAGCTGATTCACATCCAAAAGGATTTCCTGGGCAGGGCAAACACGAAGCTCGCATGCGCTCGCTTGATGAAACTGCTCGAATTCTGCTCGATTTATTTTGCAAGCCGCACTCTCCAGCAGCAACTTTTGATTTCCACGGTCAGGGCCTGTCAGAGCGAAGGTGCTTGGATGAGCGGCTGATTCTTGCAGGCGCAGCTGGCCTTGCACAATTTCAGCAGCTGTGTCGAACAGTTGCTTGAGCATGGAATACTTTGTCTCTGATCCGCCCATTGACACCTGCCATTGCTGGTCGGACTTCATTTGCTCCTCCAGCTCAAGACTTCACGTAAGACAATGGCGGAAAACATTAGCGATCTATTGCGCGGGAAAGGCAGGAAGGGTTGATGGCAGTTCTCGGTGCAGAGGAGCTTCAATGGTTTGCCGAGCGAGGGTGCAAATCCACTCAACAAGGTTGGTCGGCCCTTCCATGCTGCGATCTTGATCGTCATCGTCGTCGTCTTCGTTCCTTGACAGGGATTCAGCGGTCGGCTCTGCAGGCTCTGTAACCTCCGAGGGCAGTTATGCGCATGCAAGCATGTCCTCTGAAGATATTCAGCCAAAAGGGTTGCAAAGTCTTTGTCCTCAATCGACAGATCTTCACCGACGAAAGCCTCGGGCAGGTGCACTTCAGGGCGTCGTCATGGAAAGTAGTAACTATGCAGTAAGCACGTGGTACCTGTATCCACAGCAGGGATGTTCGAGGGGTTTAGGGATCCGGAGCGTTAAAGCCAGCCTGGAGCTTGGAATTGTGACCTTCGCATAAATTCTGGATCTTCCTGCATGGCCGTAATTTTTTTTGAGGCTTCATGCAAAGGGCCAGGTCCTGAGCATGACGTCCATGACTCTGGTCTCGTCGTCCCCATGCTGCTCGTGATGATGGAAGCTGCTGAACTGGTAGGCAAGTGCCTGCAGCTGTTTATGTCGCCTACCTTTGAAGGCATCGCGATGCGTCACGCCGTCCCCATGCCTTCTGCAGGTTTAGCTGGGGCGAATCAAACCTAAAGCGCAGAGCGGCGCAGAGGCAGGACCAAGGCTGGTCTGATAATACCACTGAAGGAATGATGTTCTGCGATCCCGCGCCAGGGTACTTGCAGAAAGCCGCTTGAAGATTCAGATCAGCATCCTCCAGAAGTTTGCAACCCAATTTAAGAGCTTCAAGGCGCAGCCAAACATCGGGATGGTAAAGCATCTCCTTGGTCTCAACTCTTTGCAGAAGCCAATCTCATGAACTTGAGAGTGTGTTCAGCAAAGCCTCTGGAACCAGCCGCAGCGGGTCTGTAGGCTCAACCTGTGCATCCTCGAAAAATCGTGTCAGCCTCAGCCGAACCTGCCAGATCAAGGAGGTGGCTCACCCCCTTTGGGGCATGTTTAGGCGCACCGGAACGCGGCCTTTTTCTTCATGTCCGTTGCAACGCTGAAGGGGCAAAAGAACATTGCCTTCTCCACAACAAACCTGGGTTCTCAAGCCATTGCTTTTGTCAATCGCAAGCCTGCCAAGGCATGATTGCTTCGGAAAGGCAAGCGGCGACTTCAGAAACTGATGACTTGTCTGCTGGGCTGGTGTCCACCTCTCCCAGATTTCCTGCATCTTCTCGCGAAGTCACGCAAGGGAACAACACCCTCTCTTGAAAGGGTAGTATGCCAAGTTCTACTGCGCCTCGATGTCGTCTTGACGGGTGAAGATTTCCTGTGAAAGCTGAGAGCTCTTGCATGCCACCGCTCTATCGAGCTCGAGTGCAATGGCCTGCAGTATGTTGAGCAGGGAGGCACAGCCTTAGAGAAAAACATAAGAGCCACCACTGTTCAACTTGAATACCTCTGTGAGGCGAGTGGAAGGCTTCAATCCTTGCGTCTGTGACGGGGAATCATAGGCTTGGCTTGTGCCTTGGAGAACATGTCGTCCGTACATCTGACATCGACGATCCACCAAAGATACAACCCCCAACACTCAATTAGATTCTTATAGATTCCTACTACCTTGTTTGTACATTGCTGTTTGCATCACTGTGTTACCCTCATCGAGTGCATCACATTGAACGTGCGTTATTTCTTGGGCCGGTTTCACTCCCCTCATCGCCGCGTGTCATCACGCGTCTCGGTGCGAGGTCGGGGGCACGATTTCAAACATCCAGGAAATGGTGAAAGCATCACTGCAGCCAACACTAACCCAGCCTCGGATGTGGTAAGCGAGTCATTTATCGGATGCCAGACGAGGTTTTGCTTGGCGGTCTTCTAAAGACTAAAGGTGATAAACATGGGCACAGAAGTGACAGAAGGGTTTATCGAATCAGCTTGAAGAGAAACTACAACTTCATAGGGATCCGTTCCGAGAGTCGCGCAGAGCAATAGCAGCGTTTGTTTGGCATGGGGTGGACTTGTTTGCGATGGACACTCGAGCTCAAACACGCCCCGAAAGATTGAATTCTTGGCGCGCAATTCGTGTAGCCCTACCGGTGCCAAATTCAAGCCAAGCATGTTCTCGCCAAGATGGTGGCTCAAGGCAGCTCGTGATTGCTTTGTGGCAGTATTTCCATGTACTTCCTGCAGTCCGAAGACATCGCTTCTGTCCCAATCCTACCCTTACGCCGCCGCAGCCCCGGGCGCTACTCACCCCCGCCCCCTGCTGCCCCCCTTTATCTCTTCTCTTCCTCCACCAGGCGGGTGGCGATACATACTGATACGGGGCGGCACCGGATCGCTGCCCGTTTGCTCCAGACTGAATGTGCTTTGAGTCGGAATCGCCTGTTGGACTTGCTGCCGCTACGGCCGCGTGGGCGGCAGCCTGAGCCGGAGGCTCCCAATGCCAGGACCACAGTCTATGCACCGTGGAAGCCGAAGAGGCTGGCAAGCCATGGCCGATCAGGCTGAGGTTGCATAGAAAATCGCCTAGCGTCGTGTCATCGGGTCCGGCGCTTTGCCGGCTGTTGGAACTGCGGCATTTTGCCTCTGAGAAGAGCGACTTGCAAAAACTGTTCCACTAAAATCGGCTCGTTGCCGGAAGAACATTGCGGGACGGGCATGCGTCTTCCTTCTCCATGTTTCGGGCACATGCGAACCGTCGTGCCTTCGATGTCTTGTTCTGTCTTCCCTAGGTGCCTGACAGGAGCCTCCTGGCAAGAGCTGCGTGCTTGCAAGAGACATGCCCGCGCCAGCAGCATCTCCCCTGTGTCATCGAACAGCTTTTCGAAGATGTTCTCCTTGCCATGCATCACACTGCCCACTCCTGGATACCTTTTGCAAGACGGCGAAATGCCTCCTCCATCTCGCCCGCACTGGTCTGTCCCCCATCATTCCTTGTGCAGCGAGCCGACATGGAACAAATCAACGGCTGGCTCAACGACAAGATTGCTCCAAGGCGCGCGAAGCTTAGGCGAGATTGATTGGTGAATGCCACAGTTCGAATGACATGACAAATGCGCAGGATCCATGAGCGCAAAGTCTCCATTCGTTCCTGCCAAGTGATGGCGCATGTAGCACGAAGCTAGATGTCAAAAAGAAAGTTGCTTCCAGAAATTTCCAGATTGTGGCAGCTCCTCCTCAGGTTCACGACGAAGGACCAGCGGCACCTATAAGGGAGCACGACTTTATAGTCTTGCTTCTCGTCGCAAGCTGTGACACGTCCAAGCTAGAAAAGCCGCTGCCTCGGAGTCGTTTATCTCGTCGAAAGCGTACTCGCTAAGGGTTTCAAACACCTCTTGCAGGCGTCTTTTTCTTAACACAAGTCCAAGTCAACGTGATTGTGCGATGTGTGCCAGCAAGAGGCAGGCATAAGGTTTGGGAAGGTCGTTTGAACCTGTCGCGGCGCAGAAGACAATTAATCGAACGCAAGGCGCTCTGAGCCCATGTCTGGTCGCTCCTGCAGCTCCCAGTCCCCACGTTCAATATCCAGCTTGGTCAGCAGCTGTTCGAGCATTACATAGCCTGCACAACTGGGTAGAGCGCACAGAATGATGGGTGATGAATCGGTCATGATGCAGACAGCTGCTTAACGTGCAATGCAGTCAGGTGGCTGCATGCCCTGTTGACCATTGCGACAACATCTTGATGCCTGAACTCCAAGATCTCGTAGCTCGAAGGCTGTCCGCTTCATCAAACAAGAAAACATGCTCTCTCTCTCTCTGCATATATATATATATATACAGATATATATATATATACATACATACCCCATATCATACGAAAGAAAAGTGTTTGATGCCTTGAGATGTCTATGGTGGTGAAGCGGTGCTCTGCTAAGGCAACGACAGGGTTACCAAAGTTCATCCACTGAAGGGCGGATCACATTCCACCGCGGACAATCGTCGGACCATGCAGGCAAGACACTCAGCCTCCAAAATGCGCGAGAGCCTTGAAAGCGGATCTCCAAGGGCTGGGTGGATAGAAGGTCCAATCTAGTCTAATCTGGGTTCTCTGCCGCGCCTGACACGGTCGAGCCCTGATGTCCCGCCGCTCAGCCCAAAGCACTGCTCTTCGATGATGTCCACCAGAATGTTCCTGGTGTGGGTGCTGCCGGGTACGAGCTATAACGTGTGAAGCGAGACGACTGCACGGCGACGACACCAGCCTGTAACGCGGCATCAGGTGATGGATGACCTTACGAGATAGGCCCTTCTTGTCGGTGAGGGACTCCAGCGCTTGCTCGTCCTTCGGTCAAGGCTGGAATCGAATCTTCATGCAGCCGCGGAGCTGCATTCCAAACACGCCTGCAGCTCGACTCCAGGCTCGTTAGAAACGGCATGTTCTTGCTTCCCCACATTCACGACCTGCAAAGCACTTCAGTGCACTGCAGAGTGCATTGACAGCTTGGCTGACTGTGCACAAGCATGCGCAAGCCTTTTGTATCACTTCCGCGTCAAAGCTTGTTGGGCTCGTCAAGGCTGTCAGCCGAGGATTCGCCACGGTGATGGTTATGCCGGGCGTGTTCAGGAGGCATCGGGACCGCATAGTCACCTAGTGCGAGTCACGGACCTCTCCAGTTCACATCTGAAGACCCGACCTTCAGACACCTTGAGGCCGGGGCGGTGTTGGCTCCCAGGAGTTGCAGAACAAGCTTCTTTCGTCCGAGAGTGTACCTCGTTAAGCTCTGTCCTCAACTTTCAAAATATGCCCCCAGAGTTCGTGGGGCACGAGAAGTTCTCCAGGAACACCACATCAGAGTTGTTAACCTCTACTTCAAAGAAGACCTGATTCATAGTGATGTCCCTGTCGATTTCCTTGTCGCCCCCTTGAGGCCCTTGGGGCTTTGTCGGATCACCGGATGTACGCAGCAGCGCCGCCCTGACGTCCCTAGCTTCGATGGTCACATGTACCTCCATCATCAACTCCATGAGCACCTCTTTCCGGGTAGAGGCTGACATGGAATCTCACACACACACACTCCTCAAAGAGGCAACTCCGCTTTGCGACGGGGCACATTGTCTTCAAAGAAGAGCTTCATCCCCAACGAGCTCATCTTGTCCCGCAAATCTTGCTGCACATTCCACGTTCGCTCATCTGTGCCAATCAGTTCGAAACTGGAATGCCTCAGGCGGTCCCGGTCAGTTCACATGAAGCGCAACACATTGAGATGTAGCCTGAACTTATCAGGATCCAGTCCGGCCGAGTCGCACAAGCTGCTGGCGTCGCCAGAGATTCACATCAACTCGCAGGTTGGCAGCGAGCTTGCTATCGTCCAGTTCGACTAGCTCGTACATAAAATCCTTGGTGGCATTGCAGGAAGTGCACGGCCGAAAGTCTGCAACACGCACTGCCCTGAGTCAAGAACCTTGAGGTCCTCCTCTTCTCGCACGTGCTTGCTGTGCACGGGCATTCGCAGTCCTGTGGGGAAAGCGAGAACGAATTCGTGAGAGTTCTCATTCTCCCAGCGAGGGCCCAGGCCAGGCCTCGGGGCAGCACCGGGTCCGGGCCTCCCGGGTGGCCGCCGGAGGAGGCGACGCCCACGCCGGCCCCGACCGGGTCGCCCACCTCGGAACCGGCCGGTGAAGCGACGGCTGCGCGAACTCTCCCTCCGCACTGCGCATTCTTCCCCCTCTGTTTTCTGCGAGCGCAGCGCTTGGGCGGTTGGTGAATATCAACTCATCGCGGCCGGCAAACCCGAGAATGCAACGAGACTAGCCAGTAGCTGGTCTCACAACAACTCTCCAAAGTCCCCTTAAACCTGAATCCGACCGCCAATCACAACAGCCCAGAACACCAGGGGTGCTTGGAGAGTAGGTACTCTCCTGTAAGTCCCCGACCCTACAAGTAGGGTGAAGAGTGACGCAAGGATACCATCGAGCGACTTGCAGAACATGTCCATCATGAAAGCACGCCGTTGGGTGCAGGGGCCTTTTCTCCAGCACTGTGACGTGACGGAGCCCGTCATTAGCCGCTTTTATCCCGACGATTTAGGCATCCTCTCCACCTTCACCACGATGCAGGCCGACTGAACCAAACGAGAACGACAGGACGCCGACTGAGCCAAACGAGGACGACAGGACACTTCAGCTTGCGCAGGTTGCAGAGCCAAGTTTGCCACTGAAAGGATGCGGCCTCCCATGGCCTGCACACATTGACACCGCCATACCCAGACTGTGTAAGACGTTTATCTCAGGGTTCTGTGAAAATTCGTGCCAAACTCGACTGGCGGAGCGAAGCTGATTCGACCGGCATCTGCGAAAGGCTGCGAGATCACCTCGCAGTGGTATGGCCGCCAGTTGTCTTGGTGACGCACCAAAGCAAAAGTTTTGGCGCAAATCTGTGGAAAGTCTGGTGCACTGAGAATGGGGTGCGAGGGGATGTGGTATCTGTGGTTTCATGATATTTCGGATTGTTTTGGGCTTTTGTGATCTTGGTGGCTCTTGAACCCTTTTGCGCTTTCCCGCAGCCCAAAATCTGGGCTGAAACATAGGTAGTTTATCTTATTGTTCGGGTGTCGGGACCGGAAAAAATCTTTTCCGGCACCTCTCGAATTTGGAGTTCACAGTATTTCAGACCAATGTCTGCGCATTTACACCTGTACATACCGTAGTAAACACACAGTTCTCTCGACACCCCTCGCGCATTCCCATACCCCAAAATGGGCCAACAAATATCATGCTATCACATCGGTGCCTGCCAACAGTCCGTGCATCACCATAGTGATGCACTGAGAACAGCTTGGTGCCACATGCAGTGCCAGTCGCATGTCGCAGCTTCTCCACTCCCAAATCTCCCCACCAAAATTCTGTCTAGCAGTTTGTTGAAGAATCTCGGATACGAGTACCAAATCCAAGCAATAAGTTCATTTTGGACAAGTGGCCAATACTTTGAAGGGCTGCGCATGGCGAGAGTGCATCTCTCGGTCCTGTCAAACTCCAAGACACTCTGCGGATTCTTAATTCTTTAGGAAGTCCTGCTCTGAAATCTTCAGGTGACGGCCAACGCGTGTCGCGGTGACTTGCCAAAGCTCTTCGAACTCCTGAGCTGGACGCAGAAGCGGTATCGGACATACAGAACAGACTTGTAGCAAGCAAGCTTCATCTTGCTTGTTCCCTGCAAATCCTTGGCTCGTTGCATAGATGTGGACCAACTCTGCAGACCATGAGAGCACGAAACGCATTAGACAGAGTTCTTGCCATGCAGCCAACTCCAGATCCAGCCTGCCCTGAGTTCTGCAGGAAATCGGACTTGTCGCTTCCCCTCGCCTTAACTCACCAGTCTTCACCGAAATAGTGTGCCTTGCTGAATGGAGCCTCTGCATCGACCTTCTCCACTTCCTCTTGTGGCGCCATGCACTCTTCTTCGAAAGCGTCGGCTTTGTCCTGCCTCCCGCACGGAAGCGCGTCGCATGGAAACGCACGCAACGGCCACGTCTCAGCGTCGGGCTTGGAGCCATGGTCGGGCCACCAGGGACGCGGCAAGTTGGAGTCAGCTAGCGCCGATAGCGCCGACACCTCCTCAGGCCTCAGAGTCCCGCAGAGCAGAGTGAAATCCTTGCATCGACAATGCTGGCTCCGAGCGCGTTGCCCGATTCGCTGCAGCAAAACTTTGGCTTGCTCGCGTTGTTCGGCATCGCAAAGGCCCAAATCCATAATCTGAGAAAGGCACTGCCATGTCTCTTGGTGCGAACATGCTTCTGGCTGGCGCACGGAAGCGCAGGGAGGGAGGCCTGCTGAATGACCACGCACACCTCTTCGTCAAGAGACCATTCACGGTGGCACCAGTCTCTTTGATCAAAGAGGACCGCAAACAACCTTGGGTGATCATATGTGCCAGATCGGACTCTCCTGTTGAGTTGCAGATGACCAAGCATGGTCTGAGTGGCTGGGTCAGCAGATCGGGGCCGTCCTGCTCCTGGCCAGCCAACAGGCCCACTGCAGCCTATCACGGGGACCCTCGTGCCCTTGCACATCCCTCCCGCCATCTCAGCTACCCTTCAAATAGTTTCAGGCTTCATGTTCCACATCAGTGGAGACTTGCGGGAGATGTGACTTCATTTCGGGATATAGTGGGTGCAGCCATCCTCATTGACACGTGTTATCATGAAGACTGCACATGCCAGGGAGATCAAAGGCCGTGGGAACTGTAATCAGCTGGCCAAGCCGAAACCGGACTTTGCAACTCTAATCCCTATAATCCAAATACGACAATTTCGGGATCGCCTGCTCAAACTTCCCGCGCCCAACAGGCGAGCGGGATCGCAATAGACTCTTGATTCAAGTGGGGCTATGTCTTCAAGGGAAGGAACTACAGTTTCGGATTCGGACAACTGATATTAATATTCTGGCTGCTCGCAAGAATTCGAAAGGTTTCCGGGCTTCAGCCGCTCATGTGAACGCTACCGTTTACGTCTTGCCCACGCGCAGCCCCCAAGTATACCCTCATCAAAACTAGTCTGTGATTTCTGAGAGCATGTACGTATGACTGCTGTTTAAGGCTTGTTTGTACAGGGATGATGGCACAAGTGTATGGCTGCAAATAATCCTCAAATAAAGGCTTACTTTGGGGCATTCAAAATAAGCTAGGAAAAAGCAAGCCTTAAAGGAGCCTTATTTGGTCTGCTCCCAAATAAGCCGTAAATACAGATTATTTCAGACTTGTTTCTGATTCGTATAGACATCATAATCTTATCTTGGCGAATCTTGGGATGTTGGAGAAGAAGACCTGGCCAAGAACTTCTAGAAGCTCTGTCTAGTTTGATTGGGCTCCAGCAGCGGCTTTCTGAGACTTCAGTGTTACATGTGTTGGACCTGTGTTGGATGTTGAGGAGGCCGCCATGCAAACCTCTCTCAAAAGTGCTGTGTTGCGATTCGTGCTTCGGGTTTCCCGAGAAGTATACAACGACAGTCAGTATCAACCGCTAAAGCTTGCTGCTTCAACGCTCATATCAAGGGCACCCAAACATCCCGCAAAGTCCTCGTCGTTTGCTTCCTCAACGGCTGGTTCCTGACCGGGTTCCAGCGGCTTCGGCGGCTGCCCTTCGAAACATCCGTTCCTCAAGTCTTCAATGCCAGAAGCAGCTGAAAGGGCCGTAGCTCCGTGAATGGTCACGGCTATACATGGGCAAGGCTCGTGACCATGTAATCAAAGTCCAGAATGACCTTGTCGGGGCCTCCGTCCGCGAGACTTGACAGAATACGACACAACGAGCCGTTTCCACCGTTTCAACCCGACATGTCAAAGTCCTAGCGGTCCGAACAACCTGAGACAACAGTAACAGCGGCCCAACCGTCCTGGCGGCTGGTCATTCGGACCTCCAAGCATCACTTCTTTAGGTGGTGGTCCTGTCGGCAACGCATCAACACTCAGTGCCAAAGTGAGTGACAGAGGAGACAGAATTTGTGTACGGTGCCGGACTCAGTTCGGTCCTGACGTCAAAAACTTGTTCGAGAACCATCTTTTCCATGTGTTCTGCCTTATGAGCATTGCGACCCTGAGCCCATACCACAGCAGGTTTCAAGGATTCTTTTTCAAATGTCTTCGGGTCGCTCGTTGTAGGCCGTCAGCGTCTGCAGCAAGAGGAGCAGCAGGTGATCCCGGATGAAATATGGAGACCTTCGATGGTTCCTGCTCCTGCTACAACATACTTCAGAGGGCAGCACACTTGACAGTGCTGTCAAGAAGCAGATCGTATGTAACTCGAGCATCGATGGCTTCAACCACCGGCGAGATGCGAGGACTGAAAACGTGCCTTGCGATCCACTCGTTACAAGGGCTCTGGACTTCTGGCCCTGCACTCCAGCCTATCCTCCCGCACACACACATACACACACCTAGAGACCGGTCACCCTTACTTGGATGCTGTTTGTGCTGGAGATTGCTTGCCTATCCTGGTGCCTCAGAGGGCCCACCAGCCAATCCGAGTGGGTACGCTGAGTTGATCAGACTCGGTGTCCCATGACTGTGGAAGCTTGTTCGCCTGAAGAAAGAGAGAGTAGCTGGGAAACTCTAAATCTTAGCACAGATGTAGCCCTGCCAGGAGATATCTTGTGGCAAGCAAAGGAGATGTTACCCCCGAAGGGAGATCTGAGGAGAAGCCCTAAACCTGAAGAGACATACTGTATGGCAGAAGCGGAGACCTTACAAGGAGCTGTCGGGTCGGAAGCCTTGACTTTGAAAGTCGATGTTGGGAAAAGCCCCCCAAAAGGAGATGCCGGCAATCTAAAGAGACGTCGGATCTGGCAGCTAAATTTACTCAAGGGGACTGAATCACTGAACGGATGTTAAGCCCTAAACCTCAAGAGGATATGTTGGCGTGCACATCCGAAGAAGACAGACGTTGTCAGTATGAAGAATTCAAAGTGAGTTCGTTGACATTCCCACATGTGTGGAGGCTGCCCGTGGGACCCGGCTGCCTCTGGCAACTAGTGTCAAGAGTTTTTCTGTGGACAGCTGTTGATGCCAAGATCTTCGGATCTTTTAAACTTAAACATTGCTCACATGGTGGCTTCTCCTGGCTTCTCCTAGCCCACACCCTCGCATGGAGACATACAGACGAAGATGTACAGGCAACGACAGCCCTGCATCATCGTGCAGACAAGAAACAATTCCGGGAACCGTTTCAAGTACTGCGTGAACCTGAGCCGCGAAAGCCGTGCTTCAAACTGCGCATCCGTCGAGCACTAGATCGCTCTGAGTGTCTCGCCATTGAATCAGCAGCAAGACGATGTGCGTCGGCTTCCTCAGAGATGCAGAAGCCAACCATGTTCATTTGACCGCTTGACTTCTTGAGGTCAGCTGCTCAGGAACCAGGCGCAGTCTTTGAGACCTGCTGTCCCAGCGGTCATGGAGCATGTCCTCCACCCGGCCAGGCTGAGAATGCTGTCTGAATCCGTTGAAATATGTTAGCTCTGCACATCTAACTCTAATCGCAATTGTTGAATTGCGCCTCGATCTCATGAGGCTGCAGCAGCACACACACCATGCGCCTGTTGCAAAATGGAGTCGAGAGCCCAGGAAACGAATGGGTGCATGAGGCCGCTTGGTTGAATGCAGCGAAGCCACAAGTACGCATCCTGCACCACAAGAGGAATTTCCTGATCGGTGTCTGATGCCAGCCTCGGTTCAAAGCTTGGAGAACTGCACTTTTAGCTGTGCACGTGACAATGCAAGAAAGAATCCAGTACACAACATGGCGGAAGAATCTTTGTCGGGCCATACCATACTGCGACTCATGATCTTCGTCGTCGTCCTTCGTCTACGACTGTCTAGACACCCTTGCCGTCTCTCGGAGAGATTCTTTGACGGATCGGCGAGGCCTCATCACCTCCTTCTTCCATCTCCGGTCTTTGGCACTTGATGACCTCCCTGGCGAAGTGCCTCAAGACGGTCCTGCGAAGCGATAGGAGGTATTGCTGCAGGCCGGCATCTGCATGTGTTTCACCTTGCCTGTTGGCTCCGAATGCTGAACACTTCAACATAAGCTCGATCGACGAGAGCGCAAACGTTGTGGGAAACATTCGGTTCCTCGCATGCAGGTTGCGCAGATCAGGCATGCAAAACTCGTTTTGCTATGTGCTAACCCACCACGGATCTGTGTCATTCCCAGGCACGTTCCCAAGACCAGTTTGTTCACTTCAGCTAGCGGGTCCATGTCCATTGCAACCTGCATACTCAGTGACGCTACAATCCGCTACAAGGCTCCAATCGCAGCTCTGCTCGGCCTGCTCCTCCTCCTCAACTGTTTGCGCACCTTATACAAGATTCTGCGACTTACACACATTTTGCTGTTGCAGTCTGGTGTTTGCGCCTGAAACCGCACCCATCTAGCCTCCACTTAGATGCAGCCATTGCTTGTTGACTCACGGCGCAGTTTGCATTGGACGCAGTATTGACGGATTTTGGTAGGATACCCTCCCGCAACGAAGCCTTTGCCCCGACGCTGAGCCGCTTAAGGTTCACCGATTCCTCGGAAAGTCTGTGCCGTGGGATCTGAGTAGGTTTGGATATGCATAGTTACACGCCCATTTTCGCGAGCCGCTCACACAGACAAACAGAGACACGCAGTCACGAAGACACAAAACACGCACAAACAGAAACGCTTGAGCGCTGAGTCTGAAAACGAGATGGTGCTCAAGCGGACACCAGGAATGGTGCAGCACAGAAACGAGACGAACAGCAAACAACTATGACGCCGTTCCAGGTGGAGCGGACAATGAAGGCATGTTTGCAGGGGTGGTGGGCAGCTCTTCGTTGAGTGACAAACCCCTTTTCCACCACAAAGAGACACACGTGCACGCACACACGCACACCCACCCACCCACACACACACACACACACACATGTACTTGTATAAGAGCCATATTCGCTTAGGTGGATGTACGCATCTGAATAAAGATTGGGTGCCGCAGGAGGCCCACGAGCTGATCTGCTTGATGGCGACCCATCAACCATTACCAGCACAAATCCACTGTTTATTGGGGTGCAAGAGTGGACGGGCTGCTTGCACTTCGCTTAGAGGCAGCATGACGCAATGCTATCAAAGCTACAGTTCTGAGTGGCAAAAGCCACACACGCACAAACACGCACATTCACACACACACACACACACGAAAGGCAGAGGGAGCCAGCCATGTGTGGATCTCCCAAAGATGCACCTACCGGCGTTCATTGTGTCTTGCCGGTAAGCCAACCAAGCACAGCTCAGCTTGTTGCGGCATGTTTGTCTGTCTGAGCAGGAAGGTTCCTATGCGCTCTGCCGTCAGCATCCTGCTGCTTGCTTCCCCTGTAGGGTACGTGCTGCCTGCTGCAGCGGCAGAGATCTCTGGAATTGGAACGTCAGCGGCAGCAGCCTTAGCCGAATCAGATGATTCTTTTGAAGCATGGGCTTTTACGCAAGAAGCAAGAGCGGAAGCGGCATCCCGCTGCGGCAGTTCGTGGACTCTCAGATTCTCGCACTCATCTGGCCCTCTCGCAGAAGCATCTGCCGCTTTTGTGCGCGAGCCTGGTTCAAAGCACTTCATGCCGCTGCTGGAACAAGACACTTCAGCACAGAGCAAGTTTCCACGTCACCTCCAGCGCTTCCAAGTAATCCTTGATCCTGTCCCTGTTGTCTTTCCTGATCGGGCATGGAGTGCCAAAACTCTCACAGTCGGCGCGGATGCGTGCAGCAACAGATCTTGCGGAGCCATGTGTCAGATTGATCTTTGCGCTCAGAAACCCATCACGAGCCATAGCAATGAAGGGGCTTTCCAGTCGGAACACGGTGTTCTCTTTCAAGAACTCCATGGCGATGATATTGCCTGGGAGTGTTCTCAGGCCCCATTTCTGCCATACTTTTTTAGTTTCAAAAGGGATCCACAGCAAAGTTGTGCCAAAGCCATTGCAGTGTAGCCACCATTGTTCCGCGCATCTAGATTGTCTTTGCCCAAGCTAACGACTGCGTTGAGCACCTGAGATAGCCGCGGGTGGTGGCAAGGGACGGTACAAGTACTTAGGATGGTACGCGTCCCGCGAAGCAACACAGCTTGATGTCAGCCCCCGTTGCCAAGAGATGCTTCAGTTCTTTGCAACAAAAGTCTTGAGGGAGCCACTGCTCCTTAATGCTACCAGTTCCGTGCCCAACGAAGCTGTGCATCAGAGAGGCAAACATGGGGATTGTACATTTCCTTGCGCTTCCCTCTTGGATCGACAGGCTTCCGACATGTGGCTAGCTGAATTTATGAATGCCTCTGTAGCTACCTGGAGGGCACACATTCGGTGGGGGTGCTCCAGCTCCGAGGTTCTCTAAGATCACGAGCTGCAAGGGACATGGTTTGCCGAGGTGCTTTGAGGGCATCCAAGGAGACCATCGGCCGTGCTGTGAGATTCTCCTTGAGCACGTCCATCATCTCCCGTACAAAGGATGGCGTAACATTTTGAACTGCGTCCAGATTGTCCTTGTAGATGTTCACAAGCAAGGAAGAAACACCCATGTCCTCGTATGCTAAAGATTTCACCAGGAACTTGAAGACGTCAGGTCTGAGAAATATCTCTCGATACATTGGAAGTAGCTCTGTGAATGCCTGCAAGAACTTGACGGCCACGTCGAACGCGCTGTCTTTGCGTCTGAAAGTTTTCTCAGCCATGATGGAATCTCGCAGCGGAGCTGAACTCCGCAAAAAGCTCAGAACACGCAAGGCAAGAAGCTCCACGCGATGGTACTTGAGCAAGTGTCCATCGCCCTGCTTGCAAATCGAAGTGAAGTGCCGGAACAGTTTCGCTAGTTGCGCTTTCTCCTCTCTAACAGGGTAGAGCTGCGTCAATCGCAGTCGAAGTGTGATTTCCGAATCTTGCTCCGGGGACAGTTGTGAGGGATCCTCCTCATTAAAGCACACGAATATTCGGGTGGAGCCGTACACCATGTCCTCATGGATTTCTATGGCAACAAGTCCGGTGTCCATTTGCTCGTTGTCGGACCCTTCACGAAGCACGGGATTCCATTTTGTGCCGACCATTCGTCGCAAGTGTGTGGTTGTATTGCTGTAGAAGGAGTTGAAGGCCTTTTGGGAAGCAACATGGGCCCCGCGGACGAATTGAGCCGACTCGATGAAGGCTTGGGTGAGAGAAACGTTGACGCACCATGTGGAGGACTTCTTGGGATGGATGGGCAGCTTGAATGCTTTGAGCTTGGAGAGGTACTCGGTCCGGAAGTCCAAAGCACTTGTGCAGAAGCACGAGTTCCAGCCACTGTAGATCATCGTCGGCTCTTCCTCCCCAGGGCTCTTGATGCAGTACTTGTCCCCGAGAACATCATAGCTGATGTCCACCACTAGCGAGTTCTCATCAATCTTCGTATCCTTCGGTGAGATTAAAAGGCCCTTGCCACGGCGAGGTCGTCCTTGGTTCAGCTTTACGATCTGCTGCAGGGAACCCAACACGACACAGGGCACAGAGCCTTCCTCCACCTCTCTGTCAATGCAGGCTGTTCTGTAGCCATCGACATAAATGAAGAGCTTCGGGTTAACACCCGTGTAGTCTAGTTCTATGCCAACACAGCTCCCTTGGAAGAAGCCTCCAAAGGTGTCGTCTATGGCCTGACCGCGAATGTACAGCTGGCCAAGTTCGTCGCAGCCGAAGAATTCGCTTGGTGGCTTGAAACGATTCATCTTGACGTCCGCCTCCTCTTTCGGTGGCAACCAGCCAGCACTCAAAACACCTACGAAGAGCGGACAGGGCCGATTCTCGTCATCGTCATCCTCACCTGGAGTTGCGCCAGCAAAGTTTCTGGAGTCGTTTGGGCTAGAGGCATGTTTTTATCTATTTATTATCTTAGAGGGAGGGAGTGTTGGGTTTAGTCCTTTAGGCCCTAGGCTGAATCGAAGTCCTAGCCCGAAAACGCTACGAGTAAGGGCATAGCATGGCCAGACCAGGCAAGGCTCCAGGTGTTGCAGACTCTCGCTTTGGCAAGCTCTTCACCTCAAAATCAAAGTTCAGTATGCGAGCATCGCCTTGGAGATTTGCTGCTGCCATTCGAACAACTTGCTGACGTAATTGCTTCTTGTCCGCGTACTCAATCAAACGATCGGCCTTGTCCTTGAGATCAACATGCTCACTTTGCAGATCGTCTTCGTTCCAGTCATTTGCTTCAAACTGCTGCGAGTAGTGCTCCAATCCCTCCCGGTCAGCAAAGCTTTGCTCTTCATGCATGTTTTTCTCAAGCTGGTTAATCTTATCAATCACTCGATCGGCTTCTTTCACCCATGTTTCCAATGAGTTGAACTTCTCGGCATCGTCCATATCAAGCAGCTCTAGTCTGTCAATGGCCTCGAGGAAATCCTTCCGTCGGCGACATAATCGTGCAAGCAAGCGGACTGCCTGAATAGCAAGGCGCGCGTCAGGCAACGAAACGAAGTCAAGCAAAACCGTGACGAACTCCGCCAGATTCCGCGTGGCATCTGACACTCCAACATGCTCTGCCTCCCATGGCAAAGACGGTTTTCCGAGGTCTGCCAACACCTTCTCCACACTCTCGCATTCTTCGATTTCGAAGCCTGTGATGCTTTTCGCCGGCGCGCGTTCATTGATGGGCACACCGCTTGCACCAACTTTTCTGCGAACCGAAGGAGGCAGGAACTCGAGAAACCCAGACATGAATTGCAGGATATTCTCGTTCACAGACAAAGCACAACACTGGTTTATGACCCGACAGACATCTGCAAGGCCCGCAACAAAGGGTGTCGTGGTGACACTGCGGTGAGTCCTTTGCAACCTGTGCATAAGCGTGAAGATGCTAACGAGGTGATCTATCTTGTAGATGTTGGCGAAATCTTTCGTCAAGTCCCCGGCGTTGCTGTGATGCATCCGGAAGCGCTCAAAATATCCCAAGCCAATGAGTTTGCTCAACATCTTGCTAAGAGCACTGATGAGGGTGCTCATGGCATCCGTAAATGCAACAGGCGGCTTGGGCATAGGCTTGTTGTTGAAGACGCACATGTTCTCACACAAGTCGGCAAGCGAAGCAAGCTGCCACGAGCACATGTGGCAGAGGGACTGAAGGGATTGGCTAGCCAGAACCAGATTGGATCCGGCTTCGTCGTAGACCGTGTCGTCATCGTCGGCCCGACGGCCATCAAGGTACACGGACTTTATGATGGTGCTCCGATGCTCCTCGTCGGAGAAAGGCGGTTGGCCCAAAAAGCCGTAGAGCAGCAGGAACGTATGAGCACAAAGGCCTGCGAGGTCACTGATGTCACCAAGATCACGTGCTTCTACACTGGGGTCAGCCAAAGCACTCTGAAGCAGCTCGCCGCCCGGTGGAACAAATCGGAGACCGGCATTCATCAAAGTTTCCTGCTGCACCAGTTGAGCTTTGACGATCGAGTCTGGAATATGCCGCGAAAGCAAGGCGGAGTTGGCAGTGTTGCGGTCAGCGCAAAGATGAGCCAGTAGATTCACCAAGGCGAAATAGAAAGAGCGTTCAAGAGAGACATTATCTCCGACATGCTGAGTCACATCGTCACTGTGCTGGCCACAGGCGTACCGCGGTGGCTGAGCACGACTCTGATTCCACAAAACTCTTGGAATTTTAACGCCCTCCGCTGCTTCGATGTCTGGATCGTGTGGGTCAAACAAGACAAGAGTGCCAACTGTCAATAACACAAACCGATCTTTCTCCTCGAAGAACTGCTGCAGCGTCTTCTTCTCGCCCTGGTCTCCTTTCTCCCCGGCGCGCCTGGCAGCACAGGTGTCTTTGGTCACATGTCGCTGGAAGCGCTGGAGGTGGCCATTAATTATGTAACTATATGCCAAGATCTTAGTATAGCTAACTTAAGTATGGCAGCCTAGTCTCGAGCTATCAGCCGTAAACGGCTGCTCGGCCCATGCGTTCTCGTAGCACTCGGGCTCTGGACGGCGACGACATGCCGCGGCCTCGTTGGTTACCAGGAGCTCCTTGGCGATGAGATCTTGCGTCACCCGCACGGCTCGACTGTCCTTGCCGATGCACAGACTAGTCAGCACCCGCACCACGCTCTCCATAAAGGGGACGTGATAGAAATTGTCTGCTGCCATCTTTGTGGCAACTTCTGAGTCCAGGGACTTCATGTACGTCGGCGTGTCCATGAAGCGCTTGCGTCGAGTGAACAGCTTCCAGAAGACGTCCATTAGCACTCGCACTCCGCCAAGATTGAGCAAAGGGTCACCCAGGTGGCATGTTTGCAAGAACTGCTGCAGCACACCGTCAAAATTCCTGCAACATGTGCGGTAGCAGTAGACAAGAAAGAAATGACATGCTCGACTAGTACAGTTTCCTGTGAGCTTTGGCAGCATCTATCTCTTCAGCAAGGCCAGCAGGGACGGGACGGACAAAGGCCATCAGCATCAGGTATCTGCAGTTCGATAAAGTTGCATCGCGCTGTGCACTGCCTTTCCTGCACCTGCTCTGCAGCTGAGATTGGCACAGTGTGTTGCAGGACCAACGGGTAAGTTGCTCACTTGCGTGGCCGCTGCCTCGGCATTGACTTGACGAAGCTTGGCGACTGCGCAAAGGCAAAGGACTGTACAATGAGCAAGCAATCTTCGTGGCTCTTTCGGACTTTTGGGCTTCGGCTCCAAAGGTGTTTGTGAACAGGACCAAGCTGCACATCGGCACCAGCAATGGTACCAGGTTGTGCTGCAAAAAGACGTCCGGCATCGTGATGGAGCTCATAACCTGCAGAGCGAAGGCCGCAGAGAGGTTGTGCCGCTATTGTCAGCTCTGATTTGACTCTATTGGTGACGTCTTACTTCGTTTCTTGTGCTTGGAAAGCCTGTGCCCGCTGCTCCGGTGAATAATCAGACGGGGCAATCTGCAACAGGCCGTGGACAGCTCCTGCCGATGAGCAAGAACATGTCAGACATCTAGTCACGCAAAAACCGTGATTGAGTGTTGCTCACATTCCTCACAATCTCCTGGATGAACTGCGAAGGGCAGCATCACGGCCATGAAGTTTTCTAGCTGTGCTTTTTCAAAGGGTCCTTCCTGAAGCTTGCAGCGGTTGACGTGGACCATGGAGATTAAAATTTCGCAAGATAACAACACAGATGGTTTCGCCCAGGGGCATTGAAGGGATTTAGCCACTTGGCCTGAGGCCAAGCTTCTTCAGAATGGAGACTCTGTAGATTCTAGCTTTAGCACAACTCTCATCTCAGGAGGCCTTGTTGCTCGACTTGCTTGCCGGGAGATCCTGACACTTGCTTCAAGTGGATTTGGAGACTCACAGATCTCGCTCACTGAAAGCGGTCCGTTCTCGCTGATCTGCCACCGGAGGTTTCAGAACCGAAGAAGGAGCTTTTGCCCTCACTTCTGCCCATGAAACTTTTGCCAGCGTCCTGCACACTCGAAGCCAGGGTTGCGACGGACCGGGTGGGCAAGATGCAGCAAGACAAGGCAATCGAATCTCAGCTTTAGGGCCTGTCCAAGCTCCTTCCTACACACGAATCCCATCACAAAGTTCAAGGGCGACAGCGCAAATGGCCTGCAGGGTCGTGGTCGGCGAGGCTCCAGAAGCGTCCATGTCTCCGGACGTCCTGTGCAACCAATCCCGATGCCACACCATGTGCAGAGTTGCTGCAAACTTAAAGTTCTGCTAGGCTGCGTCATATTCATCGACTTCATCGTCAAAGCCGTGGTCCCTTCAGAAGCATTGAGGTTGCCGATGACCGTTGTACCGGCCGTGGAGCCTCGGTTCGGGATCTCTCGTCCCTTGGCTACAATCGATGCGAGTTGCGAGTTTCATGTGCTGACAAGCTTCCTGCGGCCTGTGAATACTCATCATCGCCGCGCCTGGAAGCACTGAACTTGATTCCGAGACAGTGTAAAGCCACCGTAAAGGAGCATCTGATCCTAGTTATAATACATAGAGGAGGGGATATTTTGTTCAGGGTCAACTGAAATACAAACACACCCGCTGCAGCCATCTTCAACCTCTGGCTTCTTCTACCGCTTTCATGCAAGGCACTCAGAGACCACCTCGTATTGCTCATCTGCCTGCGCAAGCATGTCATATCCTATGGATGCTTTGGGCGCCTCAGGGAGAGCCCTCTTTACCACGCCGCTCAGTTTGCTGCACATGGTGCGGCTGGCGACTGTGGTCTGCACACACGGCGGTAACCCGAATAGGATCATCCGAACGGGATCTGGGGGGGTGCAGACAAGATCTGTGGGAATCGGATCCTGCAGTACCTGAACCTATTTGCTCGTGAAGGTTCTTTACAAGACCCAGCGGGCCCCTCATGTAATGGTGGGATTAGGAGTCCACACCAAGGACCCGAGGAGGCCACATAGTGTGACTCAAAACGTGAGCGGGACTGTCGCGAGCACCATCTTCTGAGGCGGAAATACGAAGCGCATGTACATTGGCGGGAGTGCCATCTCCGGGAGTGGAACCGCAGGGACTGCGAAAGTGCAAGGATGCGTGAGTGGACCACAAAGGGGCAAGGAACCGCTAGGATTTAATGTTGAGAGCAGCAACCCAAATCGTTCCCCGCTAAGCTTGAACGCGACAGCCTTGCAACTCTCAATCTTCACTTCTCAAGTATCTATCACAACTTTCAACACGGCAACTCCACTCGTCATCCTTCTGTCTTTCTGACGATTTCTGAAGTGGGCCTTTGTCATTTCCAGGCGGCTCGTTTGCAAGGGCTTCGTCTGCTTGATGCAATACCTGAGCAGTCAGCTGCCCCGTGAGAAAGTACTCATAAGGACATCGAAAACACATTGGCTGTGAGTCTGATTCAGAATGATTCAGACAGGTGGCAGAATCTGCAAGTCAGCTGTGGCTCTTGTGTCTCCATGCTTCATTTGGAGACCTCCAAAATCAACAAAAATCCCTTTCCGGACATGGTCTCCGAATCTTCTGACTTGGTGATCTCAGCTTCTGACGGATGGTCGGATCTTGAGACTTCTTAAGATCTCCCCTGATCTTGTGCTCATTGATGGTGACGACGAAAGCAAAGTAGGCCCACCCCTTGTGGTTCAATATATTCTTGATTGTCCTGGGTTGGAGCAAACGCTCCAAACGCAGAACTTCTACACAACATGCTTGTCCACACGACCAAGGGGCTGATCGTTTTTGTCACGCCAATCCCATGTCCGGACCGTTCGATACTTATAGTTTTCCGTGCTGCGCTCCTCGCGGTAGCGAGCATAGAAGGCCATTTCACCTCCATCGGTGCCGAAAAGAGGAGACTACGGATCGCGAGACGAGCCATCTTACTGGAATCCACGATCACTCGAGCCAGCTGCCGGGCCTTGCCGCCTGAGCAGCTTGAATGATGCCTCTATGGGAAGCTTGTCCTGACCGCCAAGAGTTCAAGCGCCCTCCAGAACAAGAAACGCTTCCACTAATCCTATGACAACATCGAGTTGGTTCCGAAGTGGTTCGGAGGCTTCGCGTCAGAACAGGCGAAGCTGGTGACGCTTCGGCTGAGAGGATTGCCCTGCGTATTGAGACTAAAGAGGCGACTACCTGAAAGGACCCCGCATCTCAGCATTTAACAACCGACCTTAGCCATGACTTCGTTCGAACCAATCTCTCTTTCGCTAAAGCTATAGCCGTTATGCCACCATCGAAATGTCGCTGCAAGATGCTGGAAGAATCCAGGGCAGCAGTCCTCTCCACTCTTCACCACCCGCGCCAACTCCGCATGGCTCATGGAGGTTGAAAAGCAGTCCCACTCGATCTTCAAGTCCACCTGACAAGAACTCCAGATACTCCGAGGCTCACCCTCTCCTGAGCCTGGCCTTGACGTCCTTGTCAGTCTTTGCCCAAAGCGAAAAAGTGAACGACCTCTCGCTTCTGGAGTCCTGCGTGCTGCAATCCTCCCGGCCCCTCCCCAGGTCCCAAACAGTTCCCAAACTGTCCCGGAACACAGTCTGCGTCTCTTTCTGGGATCGATTGCCCTCGTCACTACCTCGAGATGATACTCTGAAAAGGCTTGTTTCTTTGGAACGTCTTCAGGAATCCAGCGCCACTCCATTGCCAAGGCGCTCTTCGTCAGGATGTGGCTTACGATCCGATAGTCATGGCCTCGGATGAGGCCACGCGCATGAACGTACGAAGATTGATGGATCGGCGGCATGATGCCATTCCGCCACGAACAGGTGAAGTCAGTCCAAGCATGAGATTGGCCAGTGATCTTGAGGCCCTAAGCCTGAACTCAGTAGTATTCGGCCAGTCGTTACCAGCGCGCGCACTGCATGGTGTCCCATAGTTTCTGAACCGTGATTTCTGCGAGGCAGGCCCAACTGGCAGACTCGGTATGGTTCGTTTGATCTGGAAATACGATTGGAGCCAATCAAATGAGGCCGTTACCACGAAATTAAAGCAAGTCCATGAAGCGGAGAAGCTTTGAAGTTAGAGTTAGAGAGCGCTGGTTTGCTTCTGTTTCTTTGAAAAGGGATTTGAGTTTCGTTCAAGAAGTTCTTTGTTCGGTCAACCATGTGAGCATGTCGGTCTGTGCTACTGTGCATTCTAGCAAAAACGTTAATGCAGAGGTCCAAGAAGCCTCGAAGGCCCTGCAAATGCCTGGAGGAACATACGAGTATTAAAATGAGTCTGGGCCGAATCGCTACGGGAGTTGGTTTATGTGGCTTTGCCACTTGGACGGCGGGGCGGGTGAATTCGTGGATGGGCATCCGCGGTCGGAATGCTGCTTCCTAGAGCACCGAAACCAGGTTTCATAACTCTCACTGCTGCAGCACAACGGCACAACGTAACAGCAAAAAATAACCCAAAAGAGACCCACCATCGCCACCACCTCCACAGGGGGGGCAGTAAGGAACCTTGGGCCATCTTGGGGTGTTGGTGGCGAGAGGGAGCCGCCGGTCGAGCCGAGCGCCGACAACTGAGGAGACTGCTGGCCTTGAGGACATCCTGCTTCTTGCACTCCATTCTCGGCATCTGTGGCCCCCAGGAGTGCAAGAGGGTGTACATGACCTCCGGTGCAAAGTGCAATGCAACTTGCAAAATATTGTAGAACCGGGCTCTGCCTGTTTGTTGATTGCAGCTCAGATGCTTCGACGACTCGGGCGTGCATCTTCCGGTTGCAAGTATGCACCTAACATTTGACAGTCTTACTGTGCGGCCGATCTTTATCATTCTTGGGAGAATCTTAACCTGCAGAATCTGACTGTGCTTCCGCGTGGCAATATGGGCCATAGCATCGATCAAATTTGTGACATCAGTGTCCACGTGATCCAGTAGCGACATGTTGCGCGTCCCTGTGTCCACCTCAAGGCGCCCGCAGCAAGGTGAAATTCGCTGACGCTTGCGTTGCTCGCAGCATCTCGTAGCTGTTATGACGCTGACACCACAGACTCAGAGCCTCAACATCTTTCAGCATGTTGTAGAGGTCGCGTAGCCCATCGCCGAGATCCTGGGGTCTGGCGAAAATTGGCGAAAAAGGTCGGTGTGATGCTGTGATTCTGATGCCCAGCAACATATGCCAAGAGCTGCAGGATGGGTACGCAGTTGGTGTTCTCGAGAAGATCAGACCTGGCGTCCACCGTTCAAGGTCTGAGGCCTGTCGAAGCTGAAAAATGGGGCATGCCCTGGGCATGTCTACCAGACGAACTGGCCGAGGTGGCTGAAGATTGGAGAGGCATTGGCCAACGTTAGAAATGGCACCGCAAAGCTCACGGAAAAGCCGCGTGTTGAACACATAAGGCAGCAAGAGGTATTTGTTTGCAATCACTTTGCCTCAGTCGGGTATGCTTTGCAGATATGCCATTGTCGATCCTGTGTCTTGGATTTGTATGATTCAAGGACAAGCTAACCAGGCGAGGTGCGAGTTTGTGGATCAATGCAAACAGATGGTGTGTCCAGCTTGAAGGCCGTTGCATCCCTTTGCAGGCGCGAGCATCGGTCAGAGGACAACTACTGGTATCAAGGAATCTTATCTGTCTGATTCCTGGCTCGTCCCCTCACTTGTGTTGTATTATGTATGTGCTTCCCGCTAAGCGATTCGGAAGGCTACGAACACGATCAACTGCAATCTAATTTGGCCACCATCTGAGTGCAGCATGAGGGACTTGAAGCGAGGTAGAAAGTCTTTGATCTCTCCAATGACCCGCATAAGCTTCGGAACCACATCCTCCACGATAAGCATTGCGTGCCCTTCAGGATGAGACACCAGGCACACCTGGCAAAGTAGAGCGAAAACCCTGATGCAGCAAACAGCCTGCAAGTCAGAGTCTGCTGTGCCTTCTTCAGCACGGATGCAGAGCTGAATGCAACCTCTGCAGCAAATGTTCGACTGTACGGCTCATATGGGCGACGACAGATGCTAAGCCAAACAGACTTGTAATAAGAAAGCCGCAGAGAGATCTCGGAACAAGTCGTGAAAGTTCTCGAGCTCACTAAGTCTGTCCACGGATTTCTCCAAGGGTCTGAGAACCTGAAGGACTAAGATGCAGCTGCACGGTATGGAAAGTTGGAAAGTCAGGCAATGGCGATCTTCCCAAAGCTTGCCCTACACAGCTTCTGTGCCTGCAGCAGTTGCTGGGCACCGGAGCCCTTGCTCTTCGTGCTCTTCTGTGTTGAGGAGGAGGTGAAAGAGACGGCTGAAACGATCTCGTAGCCTGAGCCGAGATCTACCAGCCATGCTGTCTGCAGTGCGAAAACTAAACAAAATACTCAGATGGGCGACGGATCCCTTGCCGGATGATGTTGAAGATGAAGGCTCGTTGCTCTTGCGATGTCTCGGGTTTCTGGAGGATGGACAGCAGGGGGCTGATAATCCTCCAAGCCGCTTTCTATGCAATGCGAGCTCATGACGTGGGCGAGTGCGACTTGCATGCGCCTGCTGGATGCCGGCTCCTTGCTTTCCGCGATGTCCTTCGCTTCTGGCTTCAGCCTGAAAGCAAAGTGCAGCTGAGCCTTCCGGAGACTTCTTCTCGAGTTCAAAGGCCCGTACCACTTCGTGAGGATGTTGCAGAAGGACAGAAGGGATGCCCTGACTTTGCGAGGTGCTGCGAAAGGTCGGCTCGTACAACCCGAGGGCCCTGACTCTGCTTTCTCCGGCACGTAGAAAGCTTGTGTCATAGACGAAAGCACCTGCTCTTCACGAAGCCAAAACAGCCCTCTTCTGCTTGACGGGAACATCAAGCCTTCTCCACGTTTGCGCGGGTGAATCTCGCCAGGTTTCCTCCAAAGCAGCGAGGCTCGAAAGGTTGCGTGTAAGAGTGTGCAAATGCAAACAAGGCGCTGGGGATGTTCAGGAGCTGCAGCACCGCATCGCACATGGACTGTGCCACCGTCGGATCCAAGCTGTCAACCAAAGTCCTTGCAGGTACTTGAGCGGATGCACTTGTCACACAATTCAAGCTGCAACTGTCCGGAGCTTCTTATTGCGAGCGATTCCGGTTTTTTGGCTCCAGAACTGAGTTTGCAAAAAAGCGAATCTTCCGTGCTGGAAGTCATGCCGGTGGCTTGAGGATCTTGAGGCGGGAGGCTCACAGTCTCTCTGGGCTGAACAGGCTGTGTCTGGGGATGACTAGCGACTGGCGAGGCTGCGGTGAGCTAATATAACCTGTCGAAAAACTCACATTAGTCGGTGATGTCGGCTTCTGTTCTTTCATTGCTCAAGCACTACTTCAACCACTTTGTGGGTCCTATGAGCACGCTTCGGAACAGGCTGCCAGGACACAGTGTGCCGACTCGTTCACAAAACAAAGTAGCTCGGACTGTTCGACATTCGGGCTTGGGGTTCTCGTCAGCTCCGTGTTAACCACTTGCCATTGGCCACAACATGTCTGCGGTTCAACAAAGAGGTAAGTTCAAGCCGAAGCTCAAAATCCGCGCCAAGCTTTCGCTGAACTTATGTGGCTGCTTTGTGGCAACCTCGCGAGCACTTTCCGGTGCAGCGTTTCCCAGCATCGGCAATGGCATGCAAGAGCTAAGACTGAGACCGCTAGCACAGCAAGTGCCAAGATTCTTTGGATAGGTCGCAGCTGGCTATTCAAACCTCGCCACCAGATTGTTCAGAACTACGATTCCAAGCTCAAGCTTTCCCCATACCTCTCTGCCATGCTTGGGCGCCGAGCGGACATAGCTCATGCTGGCAATCACGTTTGTTTGATCTGCATCGTTTTTGGTTGCCGCCGCATCAATGTCCTGATGTACAAACATGCTCAGCAGATGAAAGGTTTACCTTTGCATGGAAACTCAAAGACCCACTCCTGGCCCCCCGCTGCAACCTGCCCATCGCCCAAGCTGTCCAGATTTCTGGCTGTTGCCTGAATGGAGGCCACCAGCTGCTGCTTAACAGGAATTTCTGACTGCTGCAAAAGCGATACAACACTATCCAGGATGCTTTTGCCACACGGGTCCACTTCAGCAAGCTGCTCATGAACCTGTCCACCAGTGGGCAAGCAAACCGTGATCCGATGAAGTCTTTCCTACACCGCTGGGGTTCTGCTCATCGTCCCCGTGAAAGTCGACCCGCACAGAGTCAAACAGGCCGGGGAGCGAGTGTCGCAACGCCCGCCACACGTGTCCGTACTGCTGTTGATACCGTACTCTCCCTCTGAGGGGTGTCTGAAGGTGGGGGTCATCGCAATAAGTTGTAACTTATCCTGAAGGGGGGAGACGTTATTATCCCAAGACGTGAGGGACGTTCAGAAATACCAAGCCGCAAGCTGGGTCCGGATGCAACTTGATCCTTTAAGGGCCCGGCGGAGTCCGTTGAACATCCTTGCTGCTTCATGTTGTCTGCGCTGCATCTGCGCTTGGGTGTTTTTTGTAGTTTGTGTGTCTTTCGCTCTAGAAGTTCGGAGTTGCTACACCGGTGTCCATAAAGGGGGCGTTTTGCCCCTGACCCTGAATCTCGAAACCCCAAACCCAGAAACTCTGAACCCAGAAACCCTAAACCCCAAACCCCGAGACCCTAAGCCAAGAAAGCCCAAACCAAGAAACCCTGAATGAACCCCTAAACCCAGAAACCCTAAGCCAATAGACCCTAAACCCAGAAACCCTAAAACCATCAACCCTAAATCCAGAAAACCAGAATCCAGAAACCCGCAATCCAGAAACCCTCGACCTAGCCAAGGTCGGACGTGGGTTGCTGCTGGGCGTACCCGGGTTACCAGCCTCTTGACATGATGCACCAAAAGAAACAACTAACTACTCCGCGAAAGGTTTTCCGAGACGTGACGCCCCCACTCCTGACCCTCTAAAATTTAAGACACCCCCTAGTCTTCCAAAAAAACAAGAAGCCATTCACAACAGCGCTATTGGCAACGCTCCCACACCAAGAGTACGTGGCCTCTCGAGTAAGATCTCCCCCTCCCTCTTGCATCGATGGCATCGTTGATTGAACAAGTGTTCAAAGCAGGTACCCGACCCCATAGCGGATCTCGGGCATTGGAGGCAAGTTAGAGACTGGATCTTGCTCTGCTCGTCAGACAGGCGAGGTGAATGCACAGCTTTTGCCTGCACTCTCTGCTATCTTGAATTTTTTCTGCAAGCATGAGCCCTATGCCATTGCTAAACTCTCTCTCTCCCCGAATCTCGGGTCTGTCTTTCTAGTCGCTGTTGATATCTTGTCTCCACTGCTTGCCTGACAATACCAGTTGGATCTTCTTTTGCGGCATTCCCGGAGTCGTCCTGCTTCTCGTCTTCCTGCACGATCGGCAAGCAGCTTGTTAGAATTTATCCGCTTCCGAGAACTAACTTCCAAAGTTGTAGGCTTGCGGCTGGCAGGAGCTCGCTGCTTTACTGTGCACGACACAATTTGGCAGGAAACACTGCAATGTCCTGGTCTTGATCGACCTGGTCTTTGTCACTTTCGAGCTCTCTCCTGCATATTTCGAGATGCACGGTTTGTTCGACTCAACGCCGTCATTTCTCAGTGAGCACATCTGCTGTCGCAAAGCACTCCTGAGGCGTGATTCGATCGATTCCACCAAGCGCAGGATGTACTCAATGATGCTTTCGTTCCTGCCTGGACGTGTCGTCGCAACTCGTTGCTCTTGCACATCTCCGGGATATTCTGCCTGCCCCTCACCCTGAACTACCACCGATTCGCCATGTCAAGGTCACACAAAGTCACTATCGACAGGCACAAGACTGTTCTCAACGTGTCCGGCCGCCTGGCCTGCACTTTTCTCAAAAGCGAAGGAAGTATTGCCTTCCGCGCAGTCTCGAAACAAACAGCGCACGAGCCAACGCAACAAGATTCTGGCACATCTGCCGGCCTTTGCTCTTGTCGTTGGACGTATCTTGGGAGACCATGCCCTGCGTCAAGCCCTGACGCGGAAGCAGTGTTGTTGCGCCTGCTAACAGCATCGTAAGCGGCACGCCTGTATCACAACTTTCGGAGGTTCATCAGATACCATTTCGATGTCATCCTTTTCCTGCTATCCACGAACTGACCGAACACAAAAACTCTACTCTCTAGAGCATCAAGAAACGGATGTGGTCGCACAGCCACGTGGCCAGAGATCTGCCAAGGCACCAAGAAGGGATCAAGCCTTTTGCCGCTCATAAACTGCAGCTGGTAGTAAATTGTATCTTGAAAGTCCAACTGAAATACCTGCCGCTTCCAGCCGTCTTTGCAGTGTGTGTGCTTCTGTGCATGACTTTGCCTCCATGGACTCGGTCGTGCCGTTCCTGTAGCGCTCCTTGAAGTGTGCCTGCACCGTACTGCCTACTTTCCCGTTCGAATGTGCCGTGCTTTCAATATGCTGCTTCGTCAGGCAGAATGACGACGGTGTGTGTATTTTGGCGGCACCTTGTCTTCAGCCTTCTGAGCTTCTGATTCTGCCAGTTCCATCTTCAAAGGCCTCTGTCACTGAGCTTATCGCCTGGACATCTTGCTGGATTTATTGGCGTGCCTGGTGTGAGCCAGAATCCGTCTGCATTCCTGTCCATGTGGGTTCTCACGCAAAAACTTTCAAGCTGGCCGAAACCGGTCCGTGTCCTCGCGCTTGTGCACCGGCTGGTGCAACGCAGATTCCGTTTTGGCCTCTCACGCTGGGGTTTCCGATCCACAGCCGGGTTGTGAGCTGCACTAAGTGCGAGACCAGCCAAACAATGATCTCGTTGGGGTCCTCGACTCTTGGCTCCTCCTGCCACGCATCAGCTCTACGCTTGTGACCGGCCGGTCGGCCACAGAGGGGGTTGCCGGAAAATTATTCAAATCTTGCAAAATAGTTGATCTATGGATTTCGGAAAAGTTGTGGGGATAGTTGCCGAAGTAGTTGAATAAAAGTTGCCGACATAGTTGAAAAAAATCGATGGAGGGGTAGGGGGAAGGGGGTGGGGGGAGGGGAGGCTACTTTTTTTGGTAGCTTTTTCAACTTTTTTCAACTATTTTTATTTTTTTGTGCAATTTTTTCGTAGGGAAAGGCTGGATTTCTCTTCCCACCCCCTTCCCGCCCCCCACCCCTCCCTCCAGCTCCCCGTCCCGCCTCCTCCCCCTTCTCCCTCCCTCCCCACCTCCACCTCCGGCCTCCATCAGTTGTTTTTTTCTCGGCTCCTGCTGCACCCAGGGTTGGAAAAAAGCTGAGCCTTGTGTCATCAACTTTTCAGACATCTTGGAATCACCTTTTTGCAACTTCTATTCAACTTTTATTTATTCTGGGATAACCCAGCCTGTGCCTGCCCCGCGCCTGTCTTAACTCTAGGCTGTAAGCCCGGGGATCAATTTGGCAGGGATAGCTACAAGGCAAGAAGTGAGGGCGAGAGCCAGAAAGCAAGAGCAAGAGAGAGAGGTACGCATGGGCACAATGCACACACAAACAGACGTATGTCTTTATATGTGTATAACTAATACACATTGCATGTATATGTTTATGTGCATGTGTATGTGTCTGTGTCTGTGTTTGTGTCTGTGTCTGTGTACGTGTATATGTATGTAGTATATATGTATGTACCTGTGCATTTATGTATAAATGTGTGTGTGTCCATACACAATATGCATGTATGTGTGTACATATATATCTCTCTATGTTATACATAGTTACCTGGGGGCTCGAACACCGCTGTGCGGATAGGGGGCCGGGGAGCCCTCAGTTCGGCATTTGTCTGCCGTGGAGAAGCGGAACGTCATGAGCCTCGTGAACAATCGGAGACACACGGATAATAACCAAAGAATGCCCGGGACATGTCTGCCACATGGTGTCGTCTCTCTAATGTGTGGGTGTGATTAATAGACCTCTTCCCCGGGGCCAGGATTGGGAATAAGCGGGGACCGGGACCACAGCCAAACGATGGAGGGGGTTGGAAAAATACTGGGAGGGAGGCTTGGTATGCACGTGTCATATGCAAACAAGTAACGCACCATGACAGGTAACATGCAACATGATACATCAAATTGAATTATGAAGATAAGATTGACAACTGCGCACACACATACCTACATACTTGCACCCACATAGAATATCTGCAAGTATGTACGTCCATGCACGCACATATAGATCTGTAAAACATTCTCTCACACAGTGTACGTTGAACACGCGTGCACATCTGGCCGCGCCTGCCAATCGATCAGGCGGGTTTCCCCCGAGCCCGCCTTCAGAAGGCACGGATTTGCACGGATGTCAGACTGCAGCAAACAAACTGCAAGCTCGCGGGCGAGAGGGGCCTGCCGGCCAACCTGCGGCACCGCTTTGATGGTCAGCCCGGGCGCTCCGGGCACTCGGAGCTTCATGATTTGGCCGAGACCTGTAAAGACTTACCGAATTCAGCAACTGTCACGGTGAGCGGCATCGCGGCCTGTTTCGCTCGCTCGAGCCTTCCGAAGTGTGTCCGGGGCTTGGATGGGCTTTGTGGCCACCTCACGTCGAGGTGAGCAAACCACTCGCTTGCTGAAGCGCTCTCTCTAGGCCAAGATGCTGAAGGCTGGACATTGGAAAGACAGCTGTAGAGCACCTGCAGCCAGAATCAGCTCAAATGCGGCTGGCGATCCTCTGATTCTCAAGTACTCAAAGCCTGAGCCACCAAGACTTGCTCATCCACGGAAAGGTCATCGTCACGGATGGCGCATAGCGTGGACATAAGACGTCGCTGATTGCATCTGGGAGCAGTCATGGACGCATCACAAACATGTAACGAACATCTAGCTGCCGAGCTACTGCTGCAGCACAAAGTTCATGAGTACACGGTACCTTGGCTTCACAGTGCCTTGCATGCCTGCGCACATGCAACTATTGACAAGCAAGATACTGTCCGCTGATTCGGCGATCATCTTTACGTCTGATGATCTGCTGCATGAACCGCTGAAACTTCTCGCCCTGATGCAAGGCACTGGTTTGCAATGTAGCATTGCGAGTCGGAGAAGTTCGGGAATCAGCTTTCCAGTGATGTCCGGAGGTGTTTGACTCGAGCCCGGGTCGAGGCTCTAAAAGAAGCCCTCTCTGACGAGAAACGAGTTCAGGAGAGGATTCAGTACCACTACAGTCGAGAGCAGCCTACACCAAATCAACCACGTACCTACCGTGGGGCCGCCTGGCAAATTTCCTCGGCCCAGTGTTGGCGTAATTCGAGTGATGGCCCGGCGAGCAACTTGATCAACAGATCCTCCATGATCGGGCCAAGGAAACAACCGATCTGTGCAGCTAGCAGTCGTCCTGCGTGCGAATTACTGTCGTGAAGTTGGACGTCAGAAAGCCTCAGTCGCTAGCAATGCACGGCGACAGCGTGCCACTGCATATCACAAGGCACAAGGGACGGAAGAATGTGCTCATCGCTCCAACGGACGGATCCGCCAAGCACCTGTAAGCGCGCTAAGCGACGCTTCGTGTCAAGATGCCTGAGAAGACGAAAAAAGTTCACGTCCAGATTGGGTCGCATGCTGAACGTTCTCTTGGAAGTGGATCAGCATGAGCAGCTGATGTACCACAATGGGGGCACGAGCCTGGACTTTGTAACAGTCTGTCAGAGACCTGCTACCAGATGGCTGCGACCAACAGTAACAACTTGCTGTGCCTCAGTGATTGCAGAATCCGAGTGCTGCTTGACAATGTGCTTGATTAGCTCCAAGCGTGCCTCTCGATCAATTCCCTCCTTCCAGCTGCCAGCGCTTTGTGAGTGCCGCTCAACTTCACAGAGCTCTCCTCGCCCGGAGGCGGAGTCCACGTGAGGAGGTTTGTTGCCAACTCGGCCACGGCCTCAAACGTAGCCGCCTCCCGCGCCTGCAAACATCTGCAAACCGCTCAGGACTGCGTCGGCTGGTGGCTGGTGGCTGCCGCTGTCCTCCAACATGACGCTGCAGACGTTGTCCATCTTCTTGGCGTCCGCCCCAGTATCCGGATCTATGGATCTGGGATGAGTTCAAATCGAAACTGGCCGTCACGATCAGGCTAGACGCGGACACCCCTTACGGCCCGTACGTGCATGAGAGCAGAGACAAGCAGGAGAAATGCAGATGAGCAGCTTCCGCAGAAGAACACTTACAACCTCGCCGTGCACTTCAACATGAAAGCTGCGCGACCCGTGCATCCGATTCGAGCCTTCCGCATGTTGGTCACAACGGCAGGATCTGCCAAATTTCGAAGGGCTTGGCCTGCTGCTTGCTTCTGTGCCTGGAGAGTTGGATTTCGACACTTCTATCCTTCCCTCAATGGCATGACGGCTTCAGCAAGGAAGCGGCCTCGAGCGGATCCTTCAGCAGGTCGCAGAGCACTTCTATACCCTCCTCGGATGCCACCTCCAACGAGCCATGCCCAGCAACAGTCGAAGGAACGAACGCTTGTTTCGAAAATCTCGATGTCGCGGGCCTTCAACCGGGCATCAAAGATCTGCACGGGCAAGCCAGGCAAGTGCACCTGCAAGAGGAGGGTGGCAAGAGCTGAGCTGAAGTTCCCTCCTCCCTGAGCACTGGTGGCAACTGAGACTTTGACGGGGTCCGGAAGATCGTCCGATCCAGTGAGGCCAATGCGGCTGTAGTCGAAATGCTGCATGTCGGTGCCATTGTCTTGCCAGGCCTCTCAGGAAAGCAAGGAGCACACGGCTCCAGCAGACTTGGGCAGGAGGCCTTCAGTTCATCCTGAGCCTGTACCTCTTTTGCATGCTGTGGCTCCATGGCTCTGCCACCCACCAGCATGAGCTGGTAGACCTCGAGACTCGTGGCGAGCCATGCGCTGGTGATGCGCTCTGATGCGCTGTGAGTCTCTGCTGCCAGCGGGCCCACGCTGATGCAGTGGTGGACCTGCCGTACTCCCAGGGAGGGGCGCCGAGGAAGGTGTCCTGATGCCCCGGTTGGAAGTTCACCTCGGAAGAGCGATTCTAAGAGCTCTTGGTCTCGGCTTTGCTGCACTGAGCTGTCAGCCATCAACTCGCATGGCAGGGTGTGTGTGTAGATGAGCTCACCGTTCATGACCACAGCCATGTTGACCTGTCAGGGCCAAGACTACCACAACGAGACGGAGCCTTTCCAGGCCCCCGGCGCTGTCTATCGCCACAACCTTGCCATGCATCAAGGCATGAAGCTGTGCACAGCTTCCCTTCCCCGATGCAGAAGCGGTGTCGACATCGATGATTACAAGTCAAGGGCCGCACCAGGTGGGCCCAGCGATAGATTTCCACGAACTTGCTCGGGATTGTCAGCGTCTTCAAACGACCATCATGCGTGTACCTTTCACACTCCTCTCATGCACGAAGCTGCTGAAGTCTCTTTCACCGTGCTCTCAATGAACATGACCACACCTCACGATGATTGGATGGCAGCCCGGTATTACCTGTTCTGCACCAGGCTATCAGACTTATGAGACGGAGATCTGTCCCTTTTGCAGTGCCCCAGCGAGGCCCACGTCATCGTCTCTGCTTATGCGTCGACGAGCCCGGCCTTCGTTTCGGTCGAAACGGTCGTGGCATGGCCCACCCCGACAGCAAGCTGAACCTAAGGCAACTGATGGTAGCATGTCCAAGCACAAAAGCGAGCTGGCTTCACACCTCCGATGGCGATGTACCCTTGTAGAACACGATTGCAGGCATGTCCTGAGCTCTGTTCCAAGCTGACTGGTGCAACCCGCACAGGCAAAATCTTCCACCCTTGTATGCAGGCAAAGGCTCAGCCTGGTGTTCATCCATCAGGAAGACATGAAGCGAAAGGCTCCACACCTTGGGTATTGCTGGATTCACATGTTGATCATGTCGGGTGCGTGGAGTCCAGAGCTCTTTTATGATTATGACCTGAGTCCCTGACGACCTCTCCACGAGCGAATTCACACATCCAGCCGGCAGCATGCTGCTTTGGTCGTAGCAGGTTGAGAGAAGTTGTCAGGGCCCACCTGTCGAAGCAGGGAACTCTGTGAGGATCTGCCCAGCCGGCAGGGGCACTTTGACGGCTTGTTGGAGAAGTTGGTCAGGCAGCGGATGATGTAATTACCATCGTAGCCTCGGCAGAATTGGCTGGGCAACCGCCTACGGTTCTGAATGATAGAAATCGCGAGTCAAGCTGCAGAGAGCTTGATGCGAGGCAGGCTGGCAGTCGGGCTTGGAAGCACCCTGCGTGTTGTTGTTCGCAATGTCCACGATCTTCATGATGGCCTCTTGTTCACGACAGCCAGTGTGTGCTGCATAAAAAAAACTAAGAAGCGGGACTGAAGCGGGGCCTCCTGGTGGTAAGCAAAGTGCTGACGCCCTTCTTCACCTAAGAATACGCACGTTGACCACCCGAGAGTATCAAGTATCAGTGGCCTTTCGAAGGCAATCTCAGCCCGCCTGATCGATGTGCTGTCCAAGGCTCTTGATGAGATTCCGTGGTAGAATCGAGCAACCGAGATGTGCTGCCGGTCCAAGAGCTCTCGCCCTTGTAAAATCAGGTGTCACTCGAGGTAGGTAGGGAACCACGATTCATCAGAAAAAGGATGCCAGACATTTTGTTTGCACTTCCAGGGCACTTTTCCCACCAACTCCACACTGTCGCTCAATGTTTGGCCGGGACTCCAGGAGCTGGAACATAATCCTCAGAGCGACGTCTCGTCAGTTATCTAAGATCTGTGTTCGCCCCCAGAAGCCAGGCTTTCGGTTCCAAGAACATTCCAAACCTACAACCGCGGGGGCCGCGGGGATGGGAGGGACACTGGATAACACTTCGCTAGGACTTAGGCATGTCGTGTATGTACACTGGAAGATGCTAAGAATGATAGCTAAACCCCTGACCCCCTAACCCCTCAACCCTAAACCCCTAAACCTCTACACCCCCAAACCCTGAACACTAAAGCCCTAGAAGCCCTAGACCCATAAAAGCCCTCAACCCCTAAAAGCCCTAAACCCCTAAACCCTAAACAAAGTCCAGACCTTAGGTTCTCTAGGTTCCGCAGTAGCGCCTTAACATCAAGGGTAGCCCTCTCTGTCTTTTTCTGCGGGCATGTCAAGTTCTCTTGTAAAGCCGCTTCCTTCGGATCAGAGCAGCCGCCAGCTTGATGCGAACGCATGGGTCAGCTGCAATATGACCTGCCGCTGCAGGATCCTCGAGCACGGTAAAGAAGTCAATCAAATCCGACTCCACCACCTTTGGCTCAAGCGCCTCCACACCAAGTCCAGCTTCTTGGCAAAAATCCCTGATTGATATTTCCAGAAAAGCGGATGAGCCAGCACCGATTTTGTCTGATGATGGAAGATCGCCTTGCACCGACTGCAGAACTGACGAGGCTTGAGGTACATCCCGAGCTTCCTCAAGCACATCGTCTCCACGCGTACCCCCTTTCCGATCTTCCCGTTCTTCTTCAGCCTTCCAGCTACGCAGCACTGCAAATAGCTCTGAAACTTGAACCGGTAAAGATAGCAATCCGATGACAATCGCAACACTTGTCACAAACCTGCCCTCCGTACTGGCAACCGGAAACGGCGCGCCCTGAGAGGTAAAAACATTCAGCATGTAGAAGCAGGCATCACCGAAGGAGTTGAGCGAAGGATTCATGCCGTTTCGGCCCTCAACCCTCCACAGCAGGCCGGCCGAGATTGACAGTGTTCCAATGGCCGAGACCAGGATCCTCACCACCGACAAGCCCAAACTGCTGCCTCGGCGCCCCTGCCGGTCCTCGATGATCGCTGTTGACTTCAAAAGCCGGAAGATGCGGACAAAGCGGATGGAGCGCAAAAGAGTCAGCTCCAAGCTAAGATCCGATGAAGGCGTCAATGCAAAGGCCCGGTCAAGGACAGGCAAACACGAGACAAGGTCTGTTATGGAGCTTCCACGAAAAAACCAGCTTGCTTGAAAGTCGTTCGCCCAAGCACGCACTAGAAGCTCAGAGCAAAACACGAAATTAATTATGTCCTCGACAGACAGCCCGCCAGAGCTGTAGCCGAACCAGGGCTCCGACTCCACGAAGCGTGCTTGACCGGGATTTGTCTCACCGAAGCAAACGCAGGCTACACAAATCCCGATCAGCGTTGCTTCCAGAGCTTGATACCATGGAGGAGGGAATTTCTCGATGACCCGAATATAGCCTTTAGCAGCTTTCACTGTCTCATTTCTCACGAACTGTCGAGGCGTGTGCTTGCAACGGGAATGCTTGCAGGAACTGGAAGCCAGGACCAAGGCACAACTCGCAAGGCCCACGCCCCACCTGCGGCCCTGCCCAGTCTTGTAGCAACTCTTTCTGTGCCGCTCCGAGTACAGAGAGGAAACTTTCTCGGCCACATGTGGTAGCGCCTGCCTGCAAGGATTTGCGGGCAGGACAGAAGGGGAACCGCGGATCATCTTACTCCTCACCGATCGTCGAATCTTCCGTGCACCTACGCTGCTTCGTCCGCTCCAAGTCCGGCTCCGGCCATCGGGGGAATTAAGTCATTCAGGCCGTCAGTCAAGCTGTTGTCTACAGGAGTGCATTTGCTCTATCCGAAGCCTTCGGACCTGCGACTGTAGATGTAAATAAAATGATGTAAATGTAAGATGCAATGTCTTGGTGCGGGAGCACAAATGCCCACCACACCAACGGCTTTATCTGAAAAGGCCACCGGTGCTTGATGACTGGACTACGCAGCTGCTGGCCCTCCCTGAAGGCTTGAAGGCGCCACTTCACATCTTAGATCTCTTTGCAGCTGCCGCACCCTGCCCCCTGCTTAAGCAGGCATGTTCTATTGATTCCATTGTGGTGCCGCGCGAGAACGATTCGATCCACAAACCTCTCCAGGCAAGTGTCTGGAAAATAATCTTCTCCACGGCGGGGTCTTCAGTGGTCATAGCCTGAGCAGCTTGATGATAGGCTTGTCATGTGCAGCAGCGCATGCCAACTTGCAACGAAGCTACTGGATGTGGAGGCTTTGTACCTGGCCACCATGCATGGAAATCGAGGCTGAGGCGAATTCATCGACAGGCTAGTGAGCTCAGGTTTGCTTTCTGAACTGTCGCCCCGAAGCTGCAACAGGCTTTGAGCCTCGCTGTGCGAGGAAGGATAGCAGCATCACGACTTTCAAATCGACTTCGTTTTGCACCTTCGGCCGACGGCAACAATCTGCAGTAGTTGAGCGCTTTTGTCAGAAGCGTCCACCTTCTCGCCACCGGCACCGAGGCCTTTGGCTTGCGAATGCAAGCTGGTGAGCAGCTTCACGAAACCTGTTGCGCTGGCAGCACTTCAGCGTGAACTTTGACACTGCGTCCGTATCATGGATGGCACCTGGCTTGTCCAGAATGAGCTGGCGTCGGGCGAAAATCGTCTGGGCATCATCCGTGTCCCACCTGGGGGGATGGGAAAACTTCAGATCTCTTCCGGTCCACTGGAGGCGAGCTCGGAACATTGGAAAAGCCCGGATCTGTTCTGCAGAGCAGCACAGGTCGAACCACGAATCGGTACCCCCGATTCTCGCGATCCACCGAGTCCTGTGAGTCAGACTGCTTGCACGGCGAAACGCAGAGAGCAGCACTTCACAGCCCACCTCAAGGTGATCCTGCACGGAATTCAGGATCTCCTCGGACTCGTACTTGAATCGCCACTGGAAAGTGTCCTCATGCCGGGCCACGACATGTCTTCAATAAGTCTAAACCCGAAACCAACACAACCTGAACTTCTGAGCTGTAAGGCTAAGACTAAACTTGGACACACGAAGGAATAACATGGGAAACAGAAGCGAGGCGACTAAGTGTTAAGCCACTCAGAGCTAGCACGAAGCGTGCACTGCTCTCATACACAGCCTATACGGTCAGAAACCGATCACCTCTCTGAAACCAGAGTGCCGATAAGTGCAACAACTGATCCCAACACGTAATCGCATCTTTCATGCACAGCCTTGAGCGGCCAGCATTGCACCACCCTTTGGTGCTTGCCGCGGCATTTAATCTCAATACTTGGTGGCATGCTAAGCAACCTTCGCCAGCTCATCAACGCATCTGTGCCGAGCCGCAGATTGGATCGTGACCCTGGGCCGGTCGCAACATGTCGCAACATTTTACTCACAGCTTGTTGTGGCATGAGCACGGGAGTGTTTGGGCTCTTGCTTGAAGACTTCGGCATCATCAGAGAAGCGAGACCACATGCCTCGTCGAGTGCCACCTGCCAGGCTATCGCAGCCCACACTCCCTTGAGCCCTGGGCTCACCTCACTCAACCGCAGTCGCAATCGCCTTCAAGAATCTCGACGGAGCCATTCCCAATTGGAATGTTGTCGAACGCAATCACCTACAAACGCCATCTTCGACGCGGGGGGGGGGGGTGGTCTTGCGATGCGAATGGAGAACCTACACGCATGGCGCAAACAAGTCAAGCTCTCTGTCTTCAGACTAAATCGATTCAGTAGCCTTCCCACTTGAGCTGAGTCGCAATGTTTGATGCATCCGGAATGCGACACTCGTAAATGTTGCTGGATGCATGCATTTTCAACCGCTGAGCCTGGTGCTCACTCTCCTGATTGCAGGGAGACGAGTGCTATGCAATTATGGCAGGACCGTGGCCTTGCTACCCGCCACGATTACTCTTGATCTTGCTTGTCCAAAAAGGCTTGACTCGAACTCTTCAGTGCTAACGAGTGCAGACACACTCTACAGAACCGCTGGTGATCGTACGCAATCGAGAATCAGCGGCGCGTGTAGGATACCTGGACAGCACGACCGTTGGTCTGTCAGCAAAGGATCAGGATGGGTACTTGCACATGAATGCCCGCAGTAGTTATGCACAGATGGAGGCACATCTCACCAACAGTAGAAGTACGTATTCTGTCCAGGCACTCATCACGTCCAATCATGTGGGTCAATGTGTTCAGGACCTTCAAAGCGGCTTCCATGGCTTAAGCGAGAAGGCTTCGCAAAGAAAACAACAGTTGCAGGCAGGTGTCGCTGAGGATGACCGATGCATTGTCAGGAGACCCTGGTGACCGCAAGCCCGCCGTCCCAGCCTTGGACTGGAAGACGGCATTCGGCATTCGCCTTCTTTTGAATTGCCCCTGCTCCCTAGAGGCAAAGCCCGAGGCCGAGTAGGTTCGAAGTGCATCCGTGAACTTGCCCAGGTCGGCAGCTGTTGCATCCTGCAGAGCTCAGCAGTATCAGGCAACACGCAACAAGAAATCGTTGTCGTTCGTGGGTCGTCGTCTGTCCTGACATTCCTGCAAGACGTAGCTGACTTCCGAGCGCTCTTGTGTACTGCTCCCCACCTCGGCTCCATGGCTCGGTCCACAGCGCTGAAACGCACTCAACCCTACAGCTGGGGCATTGGCCACGGAGCGCATCTCGCTGAAGGTATCGACATAGGTTGGAGCTTCCACAGGAGAGAGAAGATGCGAAGTAGTACCAAGCAGGGAGTACCTCGTCTTTGCTGCAGACCCTGCCACTCCCACACAACAGTTTGTCAGCGCTTGCAGTGAAGGTGCATGTTCCTGGCTGCCTGCAGCCGATTCTTCCAGGAGTCCACACGCAACGCTCGTGTGCTCAGACGTGCAGTGAGCCCGCTCGTGTCCTTGGCGGCAATCCTAATTTGCCATCGTCACAACACCTCTATGTCGCTGGGCACCTCACTATCACTCAGACAAGCCAACTAAGTGATGTGCTGAAGCCTCATCATGCGCTGACGGCAGGCCAGTCGACAGAAATCTGGCCATCACTTGCAAGAAACCCATCTCGAACAATGCCTGGCCGACAGACTCCCCATGGTAGCATTCATAGCATTCATGCAGTCTTCATGACATGGCTTCATGACCTCGGCCCAACCAGCCTCGTAGGAATGAGGAAAGCGCAGCAAGATGCCCAAAGCCAGCAATGCGTAGCGTTTCCGCTTTGTTGCTTCTGCAAGTCCCATGAACGTCGCTTGACTGCCTTGGGCATGGTGAGGCAATGCGCGCCGAACCTACTCCCAGAAGCAGTCACACCTCCGTGCCTGAAGTGCTGCTGGCAAGGCTCTGAGTAGGCTCTCCATTGCAAGATAAAGTTCCGAGTCCCTGCGCTTGCGCGCCACAAACCTCAGATATCAATTTTCCGGACACTCACCCTCCATAAGCATGGGCTTGATGCCCGGCGGCTGCGCAACTATACTGTTGGATGCGGATTATCACCGTATGACATGCAAGAGCAGTCCACCTCCATATCTGCTCGGATGAGCACATCGCCGCAAGCAGCAGCATGTCTTCTGGAAAACGGACTTCCCCTGCCAGATCGGATCAGCACAATCCCTCGCTCCCCTCCAAACCTCAGCCTCAAGAGAGCCGCTGCTATATTGAACTATATTGTGTGTTGTATACCGTCTTCAAGTTCTTGGCGGCAGCAGTCGCAGGATTTTCAAGTCCTTTTTGTGTCCGCTGAGGAGCTTGGCAATGCCACGGACATGTGCACTTAGGTTTGGATTCCAACGCCTCTCTGGTTTCGACACGTTGCAGTTATTGCATGTGGGGCCTCAATGTCCCAAGGCGCAACTGGCTCAGGTGACATGACTCATCATGACTCATGCAGTCTGGAGATCCACACCCCAGAGCCCCAAAGCCCACAGCCCAGATCGAGGCCTCGGTCTTTGTCCCGCAGGGCCCCCTCCAGGATTGCTTCCAGAAGTGCGCGAGTCTTCTCGGCCCGCGGATCCAGCAAGGGGATGTTGATGCGCTCGAGCACCACATCCTCGAGGCTACATCGTTTCGTACATCTGGAATTCTCCGAACGCGTAGTCTGAGGCTGGCTCGTTGTTTGGATTGGGCAATACGTCCGCTTCAAAGTCCCGAAAATTGCAGTAGGCCTCGGAAGTGAACCGCGATCGCTTCTTCCAGTCAGAATGCTTCGCAGGATGCTGCATCTTAGCCCAATGCTGCATAGATCGAATTGGAGGTTGACACTGCTGGAGGCGTGACTCCGTGCTCGTAGCTGGGCCACGTCACATGGGAGATTGGCAGCAGGCTGAGCCGCTCCTGATGACGCATCTCCAAGAGTTGCGGGCAGTAGAAGGCAAGGCTGCAAGAGAATCAGGGAAGTCCTTCTTTCCAGGGAGCTGGAACTTGAAGTGGTCCTGTCACTCGCCGGCTCTTCCAGGCGAGGGTGCTACCCCTGGCTGTCTGCCGTGTCTGTTTGCAGCCAAGAAGCACACGTCAAGCCTCGGATTTGATGCACGGACCCTACATTGCCCTGCACGATCGCTTCTGTTTTCAAGCCATGCAGCTGGAGAAGAGATTGGGAAGCGACTGAAACATCTGGCCAGCCCTTACCAAGGACATGTAGGCATGAATAGGCAAACTGCCGCAAATTTTGCCCTTGTAAGCTCCGTGCAAGCCCATGTGCCTCGATTTGATCTGCGGAGGAGATGTGCCCACTCTTGAACACAGTGGCACACAGATTCTCTGCATGGCAAAGCTTTCTGCGATCTGTGGCGCACAAATGGAACGAGAACGGACTGCGGTGGGAGGACAAGGCTTTGGGCATCGATGAGCCTATCGTTCACGAACCTGGGCTCGTACCAAGGTGCATGCAAGCTGCCCCTTCGCGTGGCTCTTGCTGCCAAGTAGCACAGAGATCCACAGAGCAGAGTCCGCAAAAAGCAGCTGCATTTTCAGGATGCAGCCTGCAGCAACCAAATTCCACAGGCGAGCTCTTGCTGTCTTCGTGCCCACCTCGCCGAGTCAAGCTGATCTTAATCGCCTCCTTGGCCTGTCACAGGAAGCTTTCTAACAGCCTCTTTTCTGTGGTTTACGAACCCATGCTTCGACATGCTCTTTGGAAGATATGAAGCTGTATCGCTGCGCTGAACGATGCTGTCACACCACATGGAAAAGGATGTTGAATTTCATGGGACAGCATCTTGCAGCCACGCACACTCAGCTTCGACAGCCTCGTCCAAGTCGTTGAGTCCTTCACTCACTGTAGAGCGACGATGACACGAACAGGTGGACATGCAAAGGCGGCATGAAGGTTATAACTTATAACTTCCAAGAATCGCTTGTCAGGTGTTTGCTGGGCCATCTTCGTGTCGAGTGTGACATCCAGTGTCGCACAGCCTCGGAAGTCAGGAACTAAAGCTGGGCTTGGGCTTCGCGTGACACGCAACCTGCAAGAAGCTTCTACTACAGCATTCGCACGATTGAAACATGCAGAAAGGCGGCTCGCACGGTACAGCTCTGAGAAGTCATTCTGCAATAGCAAGCCTCTCGGACCGAGCAGCACACGCCGACAGGATACTGGAACTGGGGTGGACAGCGAGCCTACTGCACACTGCTCTTTCTTGATCGAGCCATTGATGGAAGAAGGATGATGGATCAGCCACTGAAACTGATACGCGCAGCGCTCCTTGGCACGCGCAGATTCCAAGTCCGATGCACTTTACACGGATGTACCCCTGCAAGCTGTGTGGCAGCTCCCAGCAGCCAAGACACTGACAAGCATGGCCTCAGACATTAACAAGACGCAGATGCAAACGCTTTGCCCAATGCAAACCAAGTAGCTGCGTGCAAGGCCAACTGCCCGTTCCCACCGGCAATGCCATCCCGGCAGAAGAATTTGCCCGAAGCACTGCGCAGCTGTGAGGCCTCGAAGGCTTGTCAGATCTTCTCAGGGTCAATGCGCACATGTGTCCCAGCACTTCTTTCGGCGCTTCGTGGCTGTAGGCTGCAACATGCTGCAACGAGGACTCCGGCACTCGTCCGCCGAGGTTTGTGTCAGGACAGGGTTGCCACAGTCAGAGCTGCAGATCTTCAAACCACAACGGTCAGGCCAGCTCCGAGAAGTGTTCAGTCTGGCCATAGGCCCTAGATTACCCCTCAGCGCATTCATAGTGTGCGGGAAGACCAACAACCCCGAACTGTGATGGCAAGCCCCAGCACCCAGAAGGGCATGAAGTTGCATGCAGCAGGACAACAAAACGACATCGACGCGGAATTGAACATGGCTCGCTTGTGGAATTCGGGAACGTTCGCAGGTATCCTTCTGAATGTCGCGTGGGACTGCTGAAAATGGTGGGATCGAGTGGATCAGTCGATCGTTGATGTTTGGCTGGCATGCTTCAGCGGTTTGGGATTTGGGAAAGTCGCAATACGCGATTTCGAATGCAACTATCATTCATGCTGCTGCAACCTGTGAAACCTGTGATGAACTCTCGATTGCTGCTGTTTCCTGCACCTCTTCAAGGCCCACCAGGCACCGGAGACTAGTCAAGAAGGCCCCACTGCTGGATGAATCAATGATGCACCTTGTGGTATGACCAGCAGCCACTCAAAATGATTCGCAGTTGGCAGTGGCATGCAGCGGCGCGAACATGCAAATGCAGGCAACACGCCTGAGCGCCGGAGCCACCAGCTTAACCAGCATGCGTGATGAGTCATGAATCAGTTAATTAATGAGTCATGAGAGACATTGCATGAATGAGATCGCAGACGAGGGGCAACAGCCCATCTTGCAGTACAAGCCCATCGGATATTGCACGAGGTGCTGTAAAGGTCCTTGGTCTCCGTCAGAGAACCCCATTTGTGCAGTGTCGGTGCCCTCCAAGCAGATTCTGGAAAGTGTTCATGCTTCCAAGAGGCGGCACGTAGTCCAGCGAGCAGAAGAGACATCCTGGCCATTGCATGGACACGTTGTATCCTCGGCTTAGCGGGCTGAAAGCACCATGACAACGAATGGGGACGAAGAACAGCAGAAGAATGTTGGAATGCAGAATTGGCATTTTTGTTCCTCCGAGCTGCGAGATCGAACGGATGGAAACACCTTTGTGTTTGGTCCTGGCAGAAAACTGGTGTTGTGAAAATCCCATTCGTTATGAGCAGTGGCTGCGCTGATTCCTGACTTTTGAGCGGCCGCAGTTGTTGTCACTGTTGGGCCAACATCCGCCGACATAGGCACGGCGTCCAATATGTAACCGCGGTCCTCGCACGCAGCAGGAACGGCACAAACCACATAGTGTGCTGAGCGCAGCTTAAAGCCATCACGCTCGTCGCTGAGTTCCTGTGACCAACCTGCGGCCACTCTGGCAAAGCACAAATCCCTGTCCTCGTGAATGATGGGCATCAGGCAGACGAAGACCGCTTGGTTACCGGCTACGAGCATTGCGTTGGGTGCCCCGGCATCTGCAAATTCCTTGTTGAGCTTGTCTGCAGGCTCCTGAGTTTCTGATCAAGGTCGACTTTATCAGATCAGATCCAAAGTCACGTCTTTTGCCTCCCAGGTTCGTAATTGTCCCAAACCCGAACGTAGGCAAGGTCGCAAAGAAGCTGGTTGCAAATCTTTTGCACACCTGACCACTGCCAGAAGATGCGACTGGCACGAAGACTTTCCTTGAGGTGCTTTGCTGTCCGAGCTTCTTCCGGTGACCTGCACCTCGCATCCCAGATACGCCTCTGTGCGAAACATGTCCTCGGAGAGGGAGAGAGGGAAAACTTAGAGGGTTTCTCTGAACCTCCGTCCTTTCACCCACAGCTCCGAGGCTGCAGACCGGCGCTGTCTCTCTCTCTCTCTCTCTCCGGGGCATAGGGGCAGGTCAATGCCCCCGGGCGCCAGGCCCACCCAATGTTTTATTGGGTGCAGGGGTGTGAAAAAAGAACGAAGGAAAGAACCCCCTTTAACCCCTCGCGCGCAAGCGCGCACCTGCGAATCATTTAACGTGTTTCCTTTGAAAAGTTCTTCTCCAGAGGCTCGGCTGCACGAAGGCCCTGGACCCTGAACTCCCCCATCGGAAGCGAAAATTGCTGAAACATACTTTTTTTAACAACTTCGGCGATCTCGCTCTCTCGCTCTCTCTCTTTGCTTTGCTTTGCTTTGCTTTGCGTGGGGTAAGGGTCGACCGGCAATTAGAGCATATTTTTTATTTCGTCGGCACACATGTTACTTTCCTTTCCCTCGAATTTACAATGTGGTACCGCAGCCTGCCCCTACGGAGGCATACAGTGAGGGTCACCCATCCGGTTCGAGAGACCACACTACAGCCAAGCCCCTCGACCAAAATGGTGGATGGGGAAGCGCCTGGAGCGCGGGCCGGGGGATCTGCCCATTCTGAGGTTCAAAGAAAGTTGTTTGGGTGCCCCCTTTGCACTAACTAAAGTCGGGACGAAACTTATAGAAAGATGCCTCCCATTCATTTTGTCGTGTGGCAATAGGCTGGTACACGGATGCAAAGTTCCCGGCTCTTGCAAAACTTTGTACAATAAGGTACATTTCTTCACTTAGTGCCTCGGTCCATGTCCTTGGCTGTCCTGAGGAACCTTATCCCAAGTCGTTCCTCGGAGCTTGTTCCTCCTCTTGGCCGGCCTGCGGGTTTGCAGGCTCAGCTGGTCTTGCGCTCCCTGGTACCTGCTGTCTCAACTGGTCCTCGTGCCGAGGCGAGAGCAACCCTAGACGACCTCGAGAACCGGCCAGCGGACCAGCAAGGGACAAGTACCCAAGTACCCCATACGAGCGACATCGAACTCGAGGGCGACACCACCTCATGCCGCCACACCCTCAAAGAAGAGGAAATGGGGCGCACCTCCTTCCTCCTCCTCGAGTTCGAGCACAGGCAGTCACAAGAAGGAGGACAAGCCCAAGGGTCAACAGCACCAGGCAAGATGGCATGCCAGTTGGACACCCACTCCAGAAGCTGTCAAGGACGACGGGGCACAAAGAGTCCGATGATGCCTGTTGGAATCATGGACTGGAACCCGAGAAGGCCCGGACACAGAAGCAAGGCAAAGGCGGCAGCACCAAGAACGATACCAAGGAGGACACGCAGCCGAAGGCCGCCGCAGACAAGCCACCGAAGGGAAGGCAGAAGGCGATACCACGGCTACGAGGAGTAACCCCACACCAAGCAGGTGCCGCACCAGCAGTGCTGCAGCCACCAACTACACCTGCCTCCTCAGCCAGAGGTCCGAACAATGGTGTGGAGGAACAGGCCATCCGCGAAAGGGCCATAGCGCAACGCCGCGCCGTGGAGGAGTACGACACCTGGAACTGTGGGGCACTCCACTGCAACTGGCACCAGCGCGGGTCTTTGCTTTTATTTGTGGTGGTCGGTGTGGTTCGCCTCGGTGTCAGTCTCCCTTTCCCGCGGCGCCTGGCGAAGTCCGTTAGGAGACCTGCAAAGAAGCCTGGATCAGGAGCTTCCGCGCTGCCCAGCCTTGGCCCCGATGATGCATAGGCTCTGCCGGACTCCGTGGATCATCAGTTGGCTGGGCTGGTGCCTCTCAACCTGCCCATTTGCTTCCCTTTTTGCTTGGGACGTGTTAGTTTCTCCTTCCTGGTGTCCCCCTTTGGCGTCCCCCTTCCAGTCTGGTACTCCATCTACCTGCTCTGGTCGCCTTCGGGAAAGAGGAGGTCTGTCAGCGGTTGGGCAGCATGGGGCCTGGGTCAGGGGACTTGCGTGGTCCTGGAGGGGCCCTTGCGAGCCCAAACTCAGCGGCGAGTGGCCTCAAGCCGCTTTCAGGGAAACGTCCACCTCCGGGTCTGGAGAGCAAACACTCTCTAGCAGATGACCTGAGCCAAAAATGGCTCGCTACGCTGTCTCTCTCTCTCTCTCTCCCTCTCTCTCCCCTCCCAACTACGTAACTACTGTATCTGTACCCACTCCTTTTTTGTCCTCGTCGGTCCTTGGTGTAGCTCTCGATGGTGATCCGCGGCTCCTCGCCATCCCAGGCAGCAGCCAGCTCTGTTTTCCCGTCCACCTTCGAGACACATCGACGAAGGGATGATGGGAGAGACGGACCCTGTCTGCACAAAAGCGCCCCTCCCTCTGCCCCGTTCGAATGAGTGGCGTAGCCAATAGTGCAGTGAAGCCAACCATCAGGCCCAGTCTGAGGAGGCAACCTGACAAAAAGAGAAGCAGGCAACATAGAGATGAACAGATGCTTTTGAAGCGGTCCCACGTTATCAACCAAGGAGCTTCAGCTGCGTGACGTTTTGAAAATACACAAAGGTGAGGAACCAGCAGTTCTTCGAGTCAGAGCCTGCAGTAGAAATCCGTGGGCAATACAGCCGTGCGGTGCGCACAAAATTGCAGAAACTGCTGCACAAATGCGGACAAGCTTAGCTGTGCGGCTATCTTCTATTCACAGATCTGCGCATACTCGAAGTCAAGAGTCCGTGACATGTGTCCTCTTAGCTTTTGAAGCCGAGAGGCCAGTATACATGCCTTCCTCGGCTAGACTCGTTTCTAATCGTTTCTGTCATGCTTGATGCGAAGAAGTTGTGACACCAGGCCAGCTGCTGTGACGTCGACTCGGCAGACAAGACTCCTTCTCTGGATCGTTCGTAGTGCTCGGCAAGCTCTCGATGCATATTCTGAACTGATCTCTGGCATCGGCTTGAGTTGATGCCATGGCTCGCCTGCGGACGACTTGCATCTTCCCTGCTGTGCTGAGACTACAGGAGTCGAATGTCGCGCAGACAGGAATCCACGGAATAGCTGCAGATACCTGCCCCCATCCTGTAATCGGCATGCCGAGAAGCTTCTCATTGACGTTTGCCATAATGGTCTGGACTTTGGCTCCCTCCTCCAAGTTGCTGTACCTGGGATCCAAGTCGAGCGCACACTGATGAATTTGCGATGGCAGTCGGCCGTGCGTGGATGCGTCCTGCATGTACCATACGAGGCGCTGTCGAAATCGCAGCTTGAACTCGAAGGAAAAGGATTCGTCATTCCTGATGCATCACCATTCACCCGCTTCAGATTCAAGGCATTTGGTAACGCCGCAGAAAACACAGCAAGAACTGGAGCAGGCGTGGTTCAAGTGCAGTTTGATGACCGGCGGCACTTGCAGCCTTACTTCACAAATCGAAGGCTCGGTTTCTGCTTTCTTGAAAGCAGGTTCGAGAGAAGTCTGCGCTCTGCTTCATCACTGTATGCTTGCGCGATCTTGCACTCATTCTTCGAAGTTACTTCTGCTTTAGAGACGTGTAGGCCCTTTAGGCATCCTTCGGTTGCTTCTCAGAGCTGGGCCTCGGGCTTCACCTGTGCAAAGTTCACTGCCCACTGTCGGAGCCGTCGGCTGCAAACTTCCTGAAAAGCTGCACTGCGCATTGGAGTCGACTGCAGGTCCCAGGGGGTGGCATGAGCAGTCTGAGAATATGTGCCCAAAAGGTTCATCCAGGTCGAAGCAGGCCGCCAGCAAGTGGCTTGCTGCACTGCGCAGGGCACGCACTGCTTCCAGCTGAAACTCATCAACCTCACGGATGCGTCACGCATCTTGCATACACGTGCGGCTTCGCACGTAAAATCCAGCTGAGCGACTTCTGTCTCATTCATCAAGTGGTCCTGGAGACAAAGCAATGCAAACAGCAATGCAGGGACAGACGGACAGTGCCTTCGAGGCCAGCAACGTCAGGATTGGCCCTTCGAGTTTCTCCCAAATGTCGCTGGTGACCTCGGCCCCGGCATTCGGCCCCGGGTTCAGAGGGACACACACGGACACGGACACGAGAGATAGACGAGGCCCAGGTCAGCGTGCTGGGCGCGCTGCTAACCAATGCAACGGGGTGGGCTTCCATTTGATATAAGGATAGATGCAGCAAGACCTTACTCGGGAGGCCCCCAAAGGCTGCCAGAGGCTTTTCAGAGACCTCCAAAGGACCTTCCCCGAACACCAACATGTCCGTCCCTGACGGTACTACGGACTGGCGGAGCTTTCTACACTCAGCTATGGCACTCCGTGTCTTCAGCAGATTCGAAGCTGGATAGATTCAGAGGAAGCGAGCGACGTCCTGCGCATTGCAACACCAACCAGAATGGACGAGATGTCGGTATTCTCCGACCTCCTGCGTGAAGGACTTCAACTTGGGAAGCGCTGAGCCCTTCATCGTGATAGGCCCTGGGCACGGATTTGTGATTTTGCGCCTGTGTTCCCAAACAGTGAAACAAGTCCCGGACAGCTCAAAAATGTAACCGGGAAAGAACCAGTTCATTGCGTGGTAGGGGACCTTTGCAAGCAATGCAGACAACTCAAAACTGCAGTTGTGGCTTGCACTTACTGTAGATCGAACACGTTTGATTGAAGTCTCCAGGTGTGCGGCGAGATCTGGAGGCGGTATCCCAACATAGCACGTGCCCCGCTGTGGACCACGAAGGTTTGAGAATTGCTGCATTCCTGATGTCTCCTGAACTTCCATCAGTTCACAAATTCGAAAGGTGGCTTTCAAACTTGACTGTCTGATTCTGACGACCCGTCCTTCTGCATGACCACCTCTGCGTTGATGTAAAGGATGATGTTGCGCCGACCCAACACTAAACAAACGTGCACCTCAGCGAACTGAAAGGCATTAACTGAATCGTGATTCTGACACTAGCTAAGACTGCTTTGCCGTCGTGAGATAACACACACACACACACACTAAAGGCTCTGCACGCAACAGGGCTGCACTCCTTCCCTCTGCGACCTCACCTTCCGTGCCCTTTAACATACACGGCGTCACGGCAGGTTCGAGCACCCCCTACGAGTACGGTTTGCCATTTCAACAGGCCGCAACTACGTGATCCTTGTTCCGAAACTAGCCATGCAAACTCTGCATGCTTGAGTGATTTAACTTCTTGTGCGGCTGCCTTTCCGACGGGCTGGGCCAGTCACCCTTCTACTTTCACTGATCTGCTGCTCCCCATGTAGATCCTAGCGAATCCCGCCGAGCTGCCCAGGCATGTCGCTTGAGGCCTCCCGTGCCCTCGTCAGGCACGAAGTGACTGTCTCCTCAGAAAAACTCGAGCGCTCAACGACAACATCAAAAATGTGTCTCTGTTGCTGCCACCGGGCCGAGACGGACCTCGAATCGGCAATTGTGGTAGTCCTTGCCGGGGCCTGCACATTTTGGGATCGTCGATCTGTCTGCGAAAATCTTTACAAAGGAATGAAATGTCTACATCATCGTCGTTTATGCATGCACACTTCACGGTGATGGAAAGGCTACGTCGTATGCTGCGCCCTGTCTCAGCTCAGCCCGTCCTGGAGCGAGAAAGAGCTGAATTTGCGGCACAGTGCTGGCGGGCGTGGCATGGCTCACAATGTGGAATATCCTGTCCACACGTGTCTGAAATTCTGCGCTCTGTGCCAGGCAGCAACTATTACCAACTTCCAGCGATGCCCAAGCTGTCCTGGTGCCTGATTCACTTCGGACCTTCGGGTTCTAGAACAGTGACAACTACTCTTGACAGCATCTGATTTCTGCGCCAGATCTGAGCACCCTGCCACTTCATCTTGCAGGTACAGCCACATTGAATATGCAAATGGCGCCAAATGAAAGGACTTCCTCTCAAGGAGTTGGACTTTTGGACGGGCTGCAGTGGGCAAAAAAAGATTGAATTGTCGCCCATGTTGACCCGCCAACGTCAACATAAGAGCGGGGTCCTTGGTAGAGCTATGGACAGGCCCTGTGGTGGAAGGCCTTGATACGGCTTTTGCGTCTTCGGATCTGGTGGCAGCATGCAGATGTTGACCTCAGTCACAAAACAACTGCTGCCTGCATCAAAACACGATACACATGCACTAGTGCAACTGCGCTTCGAAGCGAGTGATGTGCAGGATCTCAGCCAAGGCATGCGGGATGAGAACCAGTGCTGCTCAAGCACGCACTCATCCGAATGCTCACTCTGAGTGAAGCACCGGCTGTTTTCGGGCAGTTCGACCGCCTGCCAGCACTACGAGCTTTTCAGCAACGCATTCGGTCCCGCGGCATCGGTGCAGAGGTTGCGCCTAGCACGCGGATGGCCCTGATGCCTCGTCAGTACTTGAATGTCTTGAATGCCGGGATGCAGTGGACTTTAGTCGTGGAAGCTTCTAGTCCAAGTCCCTGGCACGCTGCCCGCATCAAGGGGTCCGAGGAGTTGACTAACAGCAGCGCAAAAAGGCAAAGGTCAGAGTTCTTGGCTCCTTCGTAGTCGTTCACGATCACACATCATTTCACATTGCGACGTGAGTTGGACTACCCGCTGCTGCCCCGGTCCTGCATTTTGCGGATCTCTCAGTCTGGTGGCTCCGTACTTGGGTCGAGCCTCCATTTCCTCGTACGTCGGGCTCCACCCGGCCTAGCTGGTGTCTCTTTTGCAGGGGGGGGTGGAGAAGAACTCTTCGCCGGTGCCTCCAGGAAGTCTGCGTAAACACTGACCAGTGGCGTGAGGACGCGATAGTCCAACGAATCAGGAGATCTCCTGCTTGCAACCCGCAAGTTGAAGGCTAACCAAAGCCTTTCGGAGGTCGCAGGAAAGATTTCGGACGGGCCTTTTCATAGCCAGCTCCAGGTACATGATCAGCGACTCGAAGGGGGACTTGACACTCTCAGGCTTCCTGTCAGAACAGGCCCCAAAGTTGGACGGGACGCACAAGTCCTGCTCACGCCACAACGCCACAGTGCCGCTCGCATTTTGGACGAGGCCGGTCAGAGCTTGACTTCGGGGCCTCTTCTGTGTGGTCTCGATATTATCCCCGCCGACAAATTGGGACGCCGCAGCGCCGTTCGTGGCTTGTGGAGTTCGTGTATTTTCCGCAGACGGTTCACCACGTTTGGACCTCCTGCACTTGTTGGTTGTCTACATAGCAGGGCTTTGCGCGGTAGGGCGTAGCGTCGACAACTACATCTCCGTGGTCTTTGGCCGTCCGCGCCGGCCTAATTTCCTAAAGTCATCAACAACACAAGCTTCGCCAAGAATGGTTGGGCCGCCCACCCGCAGCCCAGCTCGCAGTAGTACAGGTGGCAACAGCATCCAATCCATCCCACGGACAAGAATTGGGTCTATTTGGCGGACATGTGCTTCATTGACTAGGCTATAAATCTGGGAAGTCCATTGAAGCATTGGATCGTGAGCGTCTCCTATGCAAAGGCAGTCCTGTTGATGATTGCTGCCAGCACTTTGGACATTGTTGACACCCAGTGCGGTTCTAGCCGGCTTCTCATCATGTCAAGCAGGAGTGGCAAGTTCTTCCACTCGTTCCTGCCGCCCAGAATTGCATCCTGCCAGGATTGAGAAGGACATAGCAAGTTCCAATCCTCAGGCGGAGGCCTTGAACTCCTTGACACGAGCGAACGTGTAGATGGTGTTCTCCTTGGCCAAGCCGATGCAAGCAACATACCAACAGCATCTCTCACGATGGGATCAAAAAAGAAACAACACCCTCCCTTTCGGCTCTACAGAACCCTTGCGCAGGCTTCTTGCTCAGGATGTGGCAGCTGCTGCCATCTGCAACTGCAGGGACTCGTAGTCGTCCTGTGACATGCACGAGCTTGCATGGTATCTCCTAGTGAGTGTTTGCGAGCCCACTTCAATCTCCCAATCCCAGGCCATGGTCAGCGCTCCTCATGTGGACGTGAAGCGACAACTTTGTAGACCACAGTCCTGTCAAGACACACAGCCATCTTGCCAGTCGGCCGTGTTAATCTTGCGGACTCTGTCAGTCCTGACAACTCGCAGCATGTGGATGACTGGGCAATGCTGTGGGTTCAGTGCCTACAGCGACACCATCATCGGCTGCAAGCTGCCATGGTGCGAAAACTTGCAGGCACTCAGAACACAGGCAGATGCATGTGGCCCAGCTAGCCTGAATCGGCTGAGGGCGAAGGCCCTTGAGCGAAGATTCTAGCTCAAATGCCAGGACCTGAAGTTTTTTCAAGATTTGGAAGGCTGTCACTGCAGCTTCAAACAAACTGTAGAGAATCCGAGGCACGCCGAAGGACCAATTTACGGCCTGCTGTCCCATCGCCCGAAGGACGCACTGTGTGACAAAACGGCTGACACCTGCACCACCCCGAGCGGAACACCGCGTATGCTGTGCGGATCATCCGGAGGAGAAGGCAGCAGCGTATCGATGAGCTTCCTGCATCGACGATGTGTTGCGGAGACCAAGGAAACTTCAGCTCTCAAAGTTCTGTTCAAAAGCGCTGTCAGACTGTTTACGGCAGCTATATGATTTATTCAATACAGGGGCAGAGCTGGGCCAGCACGGGGCCCCAGCATGTGCAGCAGCGGAACGTCGGCCGAGTTGGGGCCGCTTGGACGCGGCGCTTGGAGGCTTCCTCTGGGTGCGTTTTCTGGCTACGGGAGCCTTGGATACGCGAGCAGACTCGTGCTACACTGCTACACCGCCAAGCCGACGGCAGGTCTGGATCGCAGGGCATGGATATCGCACAGGAAACGAATGGTGGCCCCAAGCTGTTGGTGGGCAGCTGGTCCCCCATGGCCCATGATGGCAGACGGCCACACGCGTAAGCTCATGCCGCGAGCTTGAGTCATTGGGCTTGTATTTTACGTGATCAAGGTATCCGACCACCTGTCTCTAGTGGCCCGCAACTTCTGGAACTTTGGAAGCTGACCAGCCGGCCCGCCGTGCTGTGAGAGTCGCTTTTCTTCAGCATGGGCTCGATTTTAAGTGCCTCCATATGCTCGCATGCTGTTGACTGCAGCACCTTCTTCGGCAGATTGGCAGCATATTTAGCGCTCTGAAGTGCGAATGATTAGATTTGGCTTGGGATGCTTATGGCCTGCCACGTCTGGGGAGTTCTTGGGCAACGCAGATGCAAAGGCGGGTCAGAGAGGTTTCGGTCGGAGAATGCCTTGAGCATTGATGACAACCAGGAATCAGGTCTTGTCGATTCCGTTTCAACAATGAGCGTTCTACCTGACCATCCGCTCATGGGTTATCGGCGTGCGGCGCTGGCTTGGCATGGAAAGACACATGTGTCATACATGCGGCGACGGTTTACAAGGAGAATTCATCGCCGGTGCAACTCGGACAAACCCAGAGATCAAATCCGAATGCGCGATCCGGTGAAAGACGGCATCCAGTCGGGATGGTCGGACAAGAACTCCGGAAGGGGGCGAGAACCAGAACTGTGAAGAAGCCATTTCGCAACCTGGTGCGAAATGAGTCTTCGCCGTCACTTCACATCGGCACAACATTCACGGAACAGGCACGGTGTGTCTCGATTTCAGTCTCTCGTGGCGAACAAGTAGCATCATGGTACAGTACTCAGCAGACCTGATCATGCACAGAAACGCTGACGTCCTGAAATGTCCACCCGAGAAGAAGTCTTCCACTGCTTGGCGCTTGATGGATGCGAACATGAACTGTGGCTCAATGCCTAAGCAGCTTGGTGCTGTCGCGGCCCCGGACTCGCAGACTCTAAGGTCTGACCAAAAGCAGACAAAGTGCGAATCTTGAACTCCTCTCTGTTCTCGCCACGGCTCAAGGACTTGTCAAAACAACACCTGGAGGTGCAAGAGTACTGGCATGCCCGGTGCCGAAACCGAAAGCTTGAGTCGAGTCGCCATGCACGGCCAGGACTGATAACAGCGAATTCCGTCTCAAAGGGAATCTGCACACCTTGGGTTTGGTTCTGAAGCCACGTGCCTGGATGTCCTAAGGGGTTAACATGAACCAAGAGACTGTAGGGCAAGTTTTTTGTCGGGATGACAAAGTTCGCCTGTCATGGCATTCAGACACCCGTCGGTGGACAGTGTTTCTGGCTCTTGTGGTGCGGTTGTGGGCGCCTGATTCGCAGGGTCAACGGATGCCTCGGAGCTTTCCTGCTTTGCAAAGTGGCACATTTGGGCTCACCATCAAACTGGATCAATGTCCTTGCTGATCAAGATGTCGACAGTCATGGCCTTCTTTCTGATGCATGTCAGCTTGACTTGCCTCGGGGCAGTATCACTACTGTGCCCTTTGACCCACGCTCTAGAAGCAAGTCGAGCCGCTGCGCACCGGGAACGAGTATTGGAAGAGGGCCGGGAGCACTAGATCCATCTGGCATCTGCTCAACAGGACAATCCTGACGGTTGCTACACAGGCATCGGCAAATGACCTGCAGCAATCTCCCTGCCCCTGGTAGTGTAGCCTTCCCGGTCCTTCGGGTACTGCCTTTCCATATCGGTCAGAAGCGCTGCCGAGAAGAAGATCAGGATGCAACGCCCGACCCATGTCTTGATAGCCTTCGATCCACATCTGACTTCTGTTTACATTGCTTGACCTTGCCCGAACGTCCACAAAACATACAGTAGCGTGGAAGTACCTCTGTCTTCAAGCCCACCACATGATCGTGTACAGAGGTAGGGTATACGAACATATAACCATGCGAACATATGACCATGTTAAACAGACATGTGCGTGTGTGCTACATTTATGCATGTGTATATTGCATATGTAATACTAGTATACAAAAATATATATGTCTATTATATTATACATATATGTACAGCTGCCCGAATACGTGTGCATGTACATGTGTGTATAGACTTAAAAGTATAAAGGCCGAGAGAACGAGAGACAGAGAGAGAGAGAGAGTGAGAGAGAGAGATAGAGAGAGAGTGAGAGAGAGGGTGAGCTGAGATGAGCTTAAGTTCGGTTTGACTAGACTGAATAGATGAGACTGAAAACCAGATGATAAGGTGAGATGAGCCAAGCCCGCGTGGAACAAGTATGACATGAGGTCAAACAATTGCTTGGTACGCAGCGGGAAAGGTTTTGTCCTTCGGCAAGCTAGTTGCAAATACCGCGTTTGAGGGTTCTCTCTGCGGGGGGTTATTTTTGACGCTATAGAAACCGGTTGGCGCTCCTCTCCTTGCTCCAACCGCTGGATTTGTATCATTCCGGTTGGTCCTTGGCTCCCAGAGCTCGACAACAACGATGTGATTTGTGTTCTTTCTGGCTCTTCTCTGGTCGCGCTTCTGGCTACTTTGCAAGGCAAGTCTGTTTTCGCTGGGATTCTGAAACTTTGTGTCAGTGTTGCGCATAACCCCTCGTCAGGCAGTGGCGGTAGATCACATTTCTTCAACTGGCATCAAGCGGCCCCTTTACTGCAGATGATGGCCGTTGGCCACACTTCTTGAATCTGCCCCTTCATTAGGCGATGGCAAATGCTCGCACTTTCCGAATGGGCGTATGCTCCAGTTGCGGTGGGGGCAGCTTCTGCACAAGGCTCATGTTTTATCCATAGACTTGTATCGCGGAAGCGTCGTCTGTGTCGTGATTAGAACGAAACGCGGTTTTCGGCCGCCTTTGTTGACACGGAAACGGCCATCCCACACGTTAGGCTTCGAGATTCAGAACAGAAACACGTTGGGTTCATCGTGGTGTTAGCAGAAGTACCTATGATATGGGTATACATCACCCGTTAACAAGAAGTGTGTTCTCGCACAGTTACATTATTGCTAGCACGCACGGCAAAAGAAGATGCCATGTGTGCTTGCATGGAAGCAAGGACTGTGCAAGAGTCTCCGGTTGAACCGAGAGGCATCGCTGGTGCGTTTGTTGTGACCTGGCCTCAGAGGTGGGAACTGTACACGCCATGACCGCTAGCCGCATTCTCAGATGAGCAGCCTAAATCGTTCGTCAACCTCTTCCACTCCGATGTGGAGCAAATCCTAGGCTGCAGATCGGCAGATCGGGATGCGATGCATGGCAGAAGCATTTGTCGAATCCATTGGGCCTTCAGCGTCCCGGACAGCAGCTTTATTTGCCTGGGATGTCAAGCCAATCGGGAATTGATAAGATACATCAACTCCACGAGTGAGGCAGAGATTCTTTTGAGTCTTGACAGGAAATGTCTTTTCCGCCGGGAATGAAAGAAAGTACCGCCACGTGGGTCAAGTTGGTGCAGAACTTGCACGGATCTGGGCGCACCGGTGCTGATGCGGTAGTGAAAATGGTGGTGAGTGAGGATGCAGCCAACATCGACTTGCAAAAACAACACAGATCTTAACCAACTTCATGATTGACTTCAAGCTTATCGCAGCATTTACAATCCCGTGCATTTCTCAAGGTCTGACCACAAGACCCAATTGCAATAGTCTAGATGTGCGGAATGCAACACTACATACATTCTAGATGGCAACGGACTCATTCCCGTTCATTCCAGGTGTCGCCGTGCGGCCATATAGCACTCCGAAATGCACCCCATGCCACGCACAGCTGCTCGACTGTCGAACAAGCTGCGACCGTACACAGCCCTGTGCTTGCAACTGAGCTCGGTGCTCTTTCTCCGGAAGCAGGATCAGCAAGGACAGCAGCCTCAGACGAGACATCTTCAGGGATCTAAAGTGCCTCATGCGTAACAGACCGCCAACTTAAACACCTGATGACCGAGCTTCCGCACAAGCTGTTATGCTATTCCCAAGACTGTCATCTAGGCTGCCGGACTCTACGGATCCCAAGACGATCCACTCGCGAATGACGCGTCATTCGCTACTCATGGCAATCCTCCCGATTCGTGAGACTTACATCGTGACGGCATCTCGGGTAGTTCTTCCAGCAGCCAGGGCACGAGTCAGGCACTTCGGCCAGGGCGTGGGACATTTCTTTGGCAACATCAGAGTCCGACAGCACGGTGCCTGCCGCGATGTGCGAGACCAATGGGGCAATGACCTTCAGGGACAGTGGGCAGCGATCAGAGCTAGCGCTAGCGGCCAAAGTGTCCTACGGTCCTACGTAAGGGAGCCTTGGGCGAGCAAACGCTCCGCACCATTCTCAGATCTTCACCACTGGACTGCGAGACCACTCGCTCAGAAATGCGTGCCAATTCCTTGAGCGTCGTTGATACCCAAGACTGCCCTGCTAGTCCGCATTCCCTCAGAAGGTGAATCATGACATCCCAGAATTCGCCCGCAAGCTCCGGGGATACGGTCAACTCCTGCATGACCGAGCGCGTTAGCACAACGTCCAGAACGAAATCTCGTACGTCGCAGGGCCAATCCATCGCTCTGACGATGAATCTTGGGCTCACTTGAACCATGGCCTCCTTGAGGATCTCCGAACGACTCGCTTCGGAAACAACCGACCTGGCAAGTCGGATGAGTCTGTCCTCGTTGGCCTCATCCAAGTCATGGAAGTCCTCTTCTTCGTGGTCGCCGGAACTGTAGCTGCGGGCCAGAGGAGCAAAGAGTTTCAGCAAATCGGCGACGACTTCATCGTTGTTATGACCCAGGAGTCTCAGTAGCGGAACAAGCAACCAATAATTCCCTGAAAGCTGGCTATCTCCTGAGTCATCTGTCCTACAGATCAGAGTGACGAGCTGCACGCTCTGCTGCCAAAACAATATGAGAAGGACTCGCACCGCTGCATCCTGGACCTCAGGATGGCCGAACATGAGAAACCAGTGGAGCTCTCGCCAGAAGGCAAACTTTCCAGGATTGAGATCCTGGAATACCACAGCTCCATCCCCCCACTGGTTCTCATTGATCAGATCCGAGCACTCCCCGGCATCTCGCGCAAGGATCGCCTCTGCCAGGTTGAACAGAGCAACCTGGAAGACTCGGGGGAGCTGCTTGTGCAATGCGGACATCAAGCAGGTCACCGAACAGGCTTTCTTGTGTTCTTCGCCAAAAGATGGACGTGGCAACTCATCATCCGCCGGACGTGGTAGCTCAATGCGGTGACGATATACATTGTCCAGAAACTGCAGGAAGCCTTCCTCCGGCGTCATAGCAGGATGAATTACCTGGCTGCAGACCTGAAGCACGTAGAGCCGTGTGTCCAGAGGTGTACTCGCTGCGGTCCCGGCCAAGTACAGTATCGGCGACAAGTGCTTCTCTGGATAAAGGACACCTTGCAAAAGCTCGGCGCAGACGAGCCGACCGACCCAAAGTTCCCTACAACAGGTCATCAAAATTGAAGCCAGGTGAGGAATGCAAGAATTTGCTCTCATGTCGTTGCGCTGCGAAGCCAAGAGAAGACAAACATTGGCATATGCATCTGCGGGTAAGTCGTCCTTCTTCAGGACAGCGCTTGCGAATTCGATGATGCGCCCTTCAAAGGATACATGCTCTTGAGGCAGGCGTAGCGGTGGATCGAACTCTGGAAGAACTCGGACTTCAACATCTGCCTGCAACTTCTCCTCAGAGCCAACAACGTGGACAAAAACATGATCCCCGCCAGAGGAAGAACCGTTGCGCAGCTTGGGCGACAAGATGCTTCTTTCATCCCGGAGGTTGGCTTCTTCCATAACGTTCAGAAGGACTTTGCTGCTGGGACCACGCATCCTCGATCTGAACGGGAACTGCTTGGACACACTGGCCTGAAGATGAGACGCTCCAGGAAACTCGAACTTCAACCACACTTCCCATGGCATGCCTTCTGCAAGCTCTGTTTCGAGCATCTTCTGTGCGTGGAGATCACTTCCACGGTAAAAGCCGACATAGGGTGTTTCTAAAGCGGTGTTGACCATTTGGGTGAGCAAGCACAGATCAAGCGGGCGCAAGGGAAGGCCGTGGATGATTTCATCCATTATATGATGGAGCTGTAGGAAGAACTGGCGCTGAAGCTTCTGACAGTGTATGAGCAAATTCTCTTGGTCCTGAACTTCGCCTTGCAATTTTGACAGGTCTGCGTTGAGCCTTTCCACTTGCTGCATATGTGCTGCGAGGATTGCCTCGTCGTGGCCCTGCATTTGCTCTTGCGTGCGGATCAAACCGATTTGCATTTGGATGTCAAGCTGCAGCTGGTGGATTTGGGATTGCCGATTAGTCCTGGTCGATATGCACCCGTGCATGATGTCTCTGAGCGCAGTCAAAGCCTGTGACAGCAACAGGTTCTGCAAGTCTTCTTTGTAGATAAGGCCCTCGTCGCTCATTGATTTCTTGAAGAGTGCATCTAAGACCAAAGATGTTGTCGGGGCATCCTGCTTGGCTTGTAACATCAGGGCACACATCTTGGAAGTCAGGTTCCGAAAAGACTTCTGCACATAGCCAGAGAGGTCCAGTCGCACTCCACACATCGGAATGAGTCGAACCACCAGCATCGCAGATGAGTCCTCTGCCATGACCATCCGTCCTCGAGGGGACTGGAGCAGCTGGCTGAGGAAAGCGGCGACCGCCACTAACACAGAGTGATCTGGAGGCTTTGGCCGTGACCTATCATGAGGCCCGAATTCCGGTGGAAATCCAAGCTGGACATCATGTGCCTCTGTCTTCTCGAAGTTGTCTGCAACCAAAGCTGCCAGGAATATGGCT